ATGTTGAAAAATCAAAGAAATAACAAATCATTTCGTATTTTAAATAATAAAATGAGGATATTTACGTCAGAAATTTTTTATTATATAAAGTTGAATATCAATGTTCAATCATAGCAAAAAAAAAAAAAAAGTAATAATTATTTCAAATGAATGAATATTTATACGTTATCTTTACCAGATCGTATGAAACCTCTGGCCAAAGCCTGAGCCATCTTGCCTCCTCCGATAAATCCAATCTTTAACATTTTCGTGTCGATATTCAACGTGACCCTTTTTTTCTTCTCCTCTCCGTCACCAAGAAGTTGGTCGCTCACTGTGCAAAGAAAAACTAAATTTCATAAAGATGAATTATCAACTTTAAATATATATATATATATAATGTAATAAATATATATAATGTAATTTTCATCACGATACAATTATTTATAATCTTCATTTACATATATACTTACATATATTTCGTTTATATATATATATATATATATATATAACAAACCAATAATATTTAAATTTCAAGATTGAAACTGAAGTTTCAAGAAATTTTTTATTTAACTTGATTTCTTTTGTATATAATTATAAAGAAAAAAAGATTGTTTCCTTATCAGTACAACAAACACACAATAATTATTTATGAAAAATATTGAAATCACAAGCAGTTTCTGATTTAACGTATTTAATTAATATGTTTGAACAAATTGTTTCCACTTTCTGTTTTCCATTCTATCTTCTTCGACAGAGAGATGATTTTAATAGTATTTTTTTTATATATAATCACGCATGAGATAAAGTATAAAGTCTGCGCAATATGTTTTCATACATTAAAAACATGCGACGAACGGAACATGAGTAACAAATCTCTCAAAACATTTCTACGATCGCGCCGTTTCCCTAGTGAATTATTAAACATTTCTCATGCACTTTTACAAGAAAATTATGAGATGCCATAATTCGTCGTTCTATCGCATTGTTTATGACAACTGAAGGTTTCCTATAAATCGCTTCTATTATATGTACATCGATAAACGAGTATTACATAATTGTTATTCAAATTGTTCTTAATAAGATGAATTTGAATGCAGACAATCAAATCAAGTTACGTTTTCAACAGTGAGCAATAGATATTTCAACATAGTGACAATAGATATTTAAATTAGATAAAAGATCTGTATAATGATGCATAAAAATATACAATATCGAGATGAAAATATATATATAACTTAATGTTATAATATGTAAAATATACAAATATATATATATATATATATAGTATTATTTAAAAAAAAAAATGTTTATTCTTTTAATAAAGAATTTAAAAGTAGAGATCAACACGTTTGAAATTAAAAATAATATAGAAAGATAATATTAAAAACATTAGATAAGCATTAAAAATTTTTTTGAGTATAAAGATTTATATAAAGACTAAAAATAATATTGATTCAAACTAACAAAACAAAAAATTATAAACTAACAATCAAAAGAAATATATTTTAATTATATAATCATTTTTAACAAAGATAATGACTTCTCAATTGGTAATACATTATTGTAAATATATATTAGATATTATTTTTTTCACCAATTAAAAAAAAATATTGTCTATATTGTCTTATGCTCGATTAATCAAATGAATATACAAATGTCATACAATTCACTTATCCAAAGATCTAGTTATCTAGCATCTTATTAAGATATTATGAAAATTACAGACATTTTGCTATTTTTGTTAAAAATGATTATATTATTTGATTAACGTGTACTTCTTAGCTACAGTTTTTATTTTTCTTCGACTCAAAGTTTATGCAAACATTTAAAAAATTTTTAAGCGCTTATTGATACTTATTGATATTTATTGATACTTGTAGATTGTTATCTTCCTATGTTATATTTAGTTCCAATCTATTAGATTTAGAGCACAAAAAATATAATGAAATTTATCAATGATTTGTTTTTTTGTTGAATTTTTGTGCACATTATTGGAATTGTAATAAAATTAAAATAATTTAATTTTTCATTCAATACCAAAAGTTTATATAAATACATATTAAAATTTCTAAATTCATTTAATAATTAGATTTTCAATCATTATTAATTATTGAGCAATTAAACGATTCGTGGAAACTTTTATTCAGCTATTATGAGCGCTATACTTTCGCTCATATTTCAGTTTAAGTTTAATCACGTCCGCACGTATTCAAGTGAATGCATGCGAATGTGATAATAGTACGACACAAACAATATCACGTGCGGAAAGACTTAGCAATTGATTAAGCAGACTCACGTTTCGTTTTATTATCACGGATCATTTGATAATATTGCGATCTAAATTGAGCGGAAGTAATATTACTATTTATTACTCACCGCTTCGAGCATTTAAACGTCGACGAACTCGTCGGCCTAATCTTAGAAATTCCATTGTCTTCAATCCTGTAGTCATTACTCTTCTTTTCTTCTCTTTTTTTCAGCAAGATTAGAAAATAATTGATAAATACAAAGTTGTTGAGATTAAATGTACGGCGCCACGATAAGCTATAAACAAATAGAATTCGTTGAAAGATCTAAAAATCGTGTTTACAATAGAAATTTCTCGAATGCAATACATATATATATATATATATATATATATATATATATATATATACAATACACATTTACTTTTATTTACTTTAATATTTATTTTATATTATTATTATACGAATATATTCACATTTACTTAAAATTTATATCAAAATAATTGCATATCAAATCGGTAGATGATTAAAATACATTATTTATTATATTTATCTATATTTTATAATTTTTATAAATATAAATATAGTGTATGTATTTATTGCGCTAACTATATTTTTTAAAAAAAAAAGAAGAATTATTATCAGAACGTGAATATATATATATATCAATGATTAATGTAAAAATGTTAAATACATGTATGACATTATAAGAATAGAAGATAATATAGTAAAGGAATATAAACATATAATTAAACTGATTAATTAAAAAAAAATATAAAGCTAAAAAATGCCTACGTGATATAAGTCACGCAATTGATATAATTACATATACATCTATTAGATATCATTTATAAACAAAAAATGATTTAAAATTTTTTTTATGTATGTTTAATAATTTATAAAATTACGTAAATAAATAATAAAAACTTACATGATTTACATACTGCAGAAAATGTCTCTTTATATACAATCTTATGATGCAATGATGTCACACTGCAATCGGCAAAACGATTGTTCTCTTCGTAATTGTGTACTATATTTAACACATATACTGTCTCTTCCCTGCCTTATATACCAACATGGATCACCATGTAGAACTGAAATACGAGTAACAATTATTGTTCATCAGATACGGAAAACTACAGTCGTAGTGACCAATCACAATTCAAACATAATTGTATCACCCCTTATCTGATACAGTGTCTTTCCAAGTCTAACGTATAGGATCTCGAATTATCTATAACCAGGTATCTTTGCACTATCCTTAAATTAAATTCTGCTTAAAATTTCTATAATAATGAATTGATCCTCTGATAAATTTTAGTATTAAATTTTATATAAATATACATTAATATTCATTTACTAATAATGTAATAAATATGATATATAAATTCGACTTATTAATTATCAGAAATATCTTTAACACATCAATAAATTATCAATAGATTATAATTAACGAAAACGAAGATTTTTCTTAAGTAAATGTTAAGTATAAATATTAAGTATGACAAAACGAATGTAACCCGCGATTTGTAAGCTATAAAATTCTCTAAAAAGACGTTCCAGAAACAGTACATAGATGTCAGTAGCAATGTAGTTATGCGATCATGCGCGAGTGTAGTATAATATATATGTCACATTATGAAATCGATTTTTTTTTTATATAAAATAAAAATAAACAAATACATTTTCTCAAGCTAAATATTATTTTGTATAATTAAAAATGTAATATAATTCTAATTTTCTATCGATCATTATAATTTCTCTAATAAACTTATTTATAAATCGTAATTTAATAGTAAAAGATTTTATAATGCTTATAATATCCTTATACATAGCTTTTAATATATTGTACTATAATATTTTATATATTTTTATGATTATTTCCAGATCTTAATATAAAATTACACTCACAACTTATTACTCATCAAAATTTAACTTTAATTATCAATGACCGACAGAGCAACAACATAAAAGTAAAAAAGGATCGCTTGAACTCTTAATAAAAGAACTTGTTTCAATATATTTACACATTTACATTTTTTTTTTTTATAATATTTTGTTTCATTTTGTAAAAATTCTACCATCTTTTTATCATAAGAATTTCTATTACATTAGTTAGAAAATTTTTAATTTTATTAAAAAGTGTTTAGTGAAATATTTTGGTATCATAATTCTTATAGTTTTCAAATACTTTATTCAAATTTAATATGAAAAATTTAATAATGATATATAATTTGATGTATAATAACGACAATAATTTAAATAATGATATAAAATATACTGATAAAATTTTACTATTATAATATTATATTATAATATACACTATATAAATTTTAATATATATTTATATAAATGTAAAAAATTAAAAAATTTATATTATAAATTTTTCAAAAAAGTTATTCTTAATATTTATATATTACATTTCTAACTTATATTACTAATTTTAGTCTAACAGATATACTTTCACATAAAGTAGGTTTATAGTAATAGTAAACCGGAAATAGAATTAGAAAGTTATTATAAATTATAATATATAAATTTTAATATAATGCATTTAAAAAAAATCATCAATACTTATTTATTGGAAATCTATAAAATGAATTTTTAATATAAATTCTTTAAAATTATAACAAATAATTATATAAACAAACATTTATTTTACATAGAGATATATGTATATTTTATATTTTTTTCATCTACGATTAAAAAAATAATAAAATAAATCATTAACATAAATCAATAAGATAAAAATAATTTTTTTTACTTTAATATTAACATTAACTTATTGAAATATATTTAAATATTTAAATTATGATAGTAAATGTGAAAGGTCGTTCGAAAATGAGTTGACTTTGTATTGCCTGTTCAGTCGGTGACGAGCGGTCGACAAGTCCGCACGCATTGATTTAGGTGTTACTGTGAATATTTTTGATCTACAAAACGCATGAGCATTTATGATATACCGCTTTAAGAAACTAAAATTTAAAATCAGAAACAAGTTTATTTAATTCTTGATAAATATTTTCAACTATTATATAGATTTATTTAATTAATTATAATTCTATCAATTCATGTTTAGCTGCGAAATTCAAAATAATGTATAACAATTAAAAAAAATGAATTCAACAAAGTATTTGACATTATCAAAATAATTATAACTGTGTGTCAGCAAAAGTGTTATCTCTAGTTTTGTGCGATATTCCTCGTTGAAAATTGACATTTTATAACCAGAAATTGGATTTAATTGCGAAATTTTTAGTTATCAAAGAATGCCTTCACAACTAAGCAAATGCATCGATATATCCTGTAAGGAATACTCACATCATTGGAGAGATTCCTGTTTAATAGCAGCAGCCGGTCTTGGCATAGATGCTCTTCAAGAATGTCTAAAGATATATTCTACAGTTTACATAGTATGTTTATTAATTTTTTCTTTTAATTTTGTCTAAATTTTTTTATATCTTGTTTTCAATTTAATAATCGTAATAAAAATATCATTGAGATATAAACTATAAGAAAATCTTAAATATAACACATTTTTATTCATATTTTTCTTATGAAAAGTGGTAATAATTGTTATTATAAAAAAAATACAACTTCTTCACATGTAAATCACAATTGGTTGAATTATAACATTTATATAAATAATAGTAAACAATAAATAGCATTTCATTTTCTCGAAAGATATTTATTGATAGATTTGTTTATATTATCTGATAAATAATCATTTTTGAACTTCCAAGTTGTATAATTATTTCAAGCAAAAAGAAAAAAAAATTACAAATTACAAATTGTTTCAGTTTTTCAAATTTAACTAACGATATTAGCGATATACGATTTCTATTTTCTTCGATATTTATTTTAGGTTGCTCTTTTAATGAAAGGAAAAGTACCATCTAAAGCAGACATTAAAAAAACAATATTGGGTCTTTTGCAATCAACTGCTTTTCTTTCATGGAGTGCTTTCTCATATTCTGTGTTTATTTGTTCTCTAAGGTTTGCATAAATGAATTTGCAATTTTATTTATAATCATATATTAAAGTTAAAAATTTTTGCTAAATAAAAATATAAGAAGAAATTTATTATATATTAAAATTAAAATAATTTGAAATAAAATCTTTGAATTGAATTTGTTATTCTTCATTATTTAATTTAAGAATATTTTTTTATTATTTTATACTATTATCTATATATATAAAACCTATACATTTCAGACGTATACTTGGAAAATTCAGTCTTTTGACTGTATCATTTCTTCCATCTTTTTTATCTAGTTTATCAGCTATTATTATTGAGCGACCATCAAGACGTTCTTTATTAAGTTTATATGTATCTAATGTTGTGAGTAGATTAATTTGTTAATTTCTTGTTAACATAATAGAAAATAGAGTTTTCATATGAAAATTTATATGAATCTATAAAAATATAATTTCAATATTTATTTTAATTATATATTATTTTTTTATTACATAATTAATTATAATATTCTTTATTAGGCAACAGAAACATTATTTAAAATGGGAGTAGAAAGAGGATATTATTCTCCTATTTCACATGGTGGAACATATATTTTTGCTATATCAATAGCATTGTTACTTTATTTCTATCGTTCTAAACCAAATAAACAAGTTTCCTTATATAAAATATTTAGGTATTTATTTAGTTTATTTTTATTTATTAATATTACAAACAATTTCCAATTAATTAGAAAATTTTCACTAGAATTATTGTTGGAAAATATGAAGGGAATGAATATCTTAAAAAAGAAAATTTAAATTGTGAAACACAAAACAACTCTGCTAATGAAGAGAATAATGGAAATTTAATAAAACAACATGTTTTAAATAAAACATCCTGTAAAAAAAATATATTTATAAAATCATTTGAAATATACAAGAAAATCATAGAAAGATTAAAACAATTTAAAGGAAAACATATATCATGTTCACATCCTTTTAGTTGTATTCATTATATATTAAAGGTATATATGTATATATATATTAAAGGTATATATGTGCATATAAATAAATGAATAACAAAAATTATATGATTTGAAATGCATATTATTGATGCTTACTTTCATTTATAGGGTAGTATACAAGTATTTAGTTATGCTCTAAGTGCCCAATTAGTGATTAATTTGTTTTTTGGTACTAGAAAATTAATTACAAAACCATTCTTAACAAGAGCAATAATTTTTAGAAAAGACAATCTAAATTTACCTATGTTTTTAGGTGGTTTTACTGGACTTTATAGGGTATTATTATTATTATATTTTATTACAAAATATTAATTTTATTTAATTTATAATTTTATAATAATTTCAAATATATTTTAGTTAATATCCTGTTTATTGCGAAGATTTTTTAAAAAAGATTCTTCTTATTATGCAATACCCGCTGGACTTATTGGCGGTTTAACATTTATGATTTATAGTAGTAATACAATAGCTTTATATTTTATGTGGAAAGCATTGCAGGTATTTTTGAAACTAATTTTCTAATTTTGCAATTTAATATTTTCTTATATAAAAATTTAAACTTTACATTATATCTTTTTTCATTTAGTTGTTATGGAATGATCTTGTGGAAAAAAAGATAGTACCTGAAATAAAGTGGTTTGTGATCTTTTTATATTGTTTTAGTACAGCAGTACTCTTCCATGTAGCAATCTTTGAACCACATCTTTTAAGATCTTCCTATTGGAAATTTTTATATGCTATATCTGGAGGAAGGTAATAGATAAATTTATTATTCATTTAAATATTTAACATAAATTACACTTCTTTTTTTTTCTACAATTTCAGAATAGCAACAATGTCTCGAGAACCATTAGATATATTTGGTTTTGAAACATCTAAGCATCTCATGGATGTACTAAGAAAAACTAATACTATCATTAAAAAAGCTTATATTTTTTAATTTAATAATATAAAAAAAAAAGATATATTGAATTTTTTTATATATGTGTTTGTTATTTATAATATCAGAAAAATGACAATATGATTCAAAATGTTTGTTTCTATGTAAAAAGATACAAAAAAATTTATATATAAAATTTCCTCCTTAAGAAAACTGAATTTGAATTTTTTGAATACACGTGCACTCAAGTAAGATCGATAGATATTCGAGAAATATCACAAGGTAAGGGGAATACTTCTAAAAAAAGAGAAAACAACATATAATTATTATGTGCTATTAAAATTTCGGAACTTCTTCGTCTTGTATCTTTATATCATATTATAAAGTGCTATTTAATATTATATCATATGCAACAAATATATATATATATAATTTTGTGTGTGTATATGTGTGTGTGTGTGTATGATTTCTTTTCGATTTGTAAAAGTATGTTAAATTTTTTATTTTTACTGTTGCATACGAGAGGACGAAGTTATGTGCAAAAAGTTTGTACGATATTGCTGTAGGCGGAGTCAATTCTGTTCCCCTTTCTTCATACCCCTTACATGCCTGAAATGATGTTTTAGTACATGTGTACTTAATAAATGTTCGTCTTGAATTTTTATAGTATAAAATAAAATTTTTTAACAATAAATAAAAAATGTATACAAGATGATTTTATAAAAAAACTATATTTTATAAAAATTAAATTTGAATATTTATTGGATACACTTATTCTTATATAGTCCTTGATAATGTAACGGTACAGTGAGGCAAGGGGAATAGAATAACTCCGCTTACGGTGCGCGTGTACTCCCACCGATAAGAAATGAGAAATGTTCCCCTGACCCCATATACCCCGAGAATATCCACTAGTACATTGAGTGCACGTGTACCAAACAAGTACATCATCGGTTTATATTCTCGTTATATTTTTTCATAAATTTTTGATGTTATTAATTTTAAAATATCTTACATACATTGGAAGTATGTACTAATAAAATATATATATTAATAAAATAATTACCAAAGAAACAAATATAATGAATTTTTGTATTGTTAACATTTTGCAATAGCTGTAATTTTAAAATTTAGATTTTCATTAAATTATACTTAAAATGATTATTCATTAATATTATAATCTATATAATAGATATTTATGGTTATATGATATTTATTGGTTATTCAATGTATCTGTGATGTTAATATAATTCATCTAATTTTATATATTAAAATATAATATATATATATATATATATAGTGTGTAAAAAAAGAAAAAAAAGAGAAAAATATGAAACAATTATTATAAATAACTTGTTATAAAATTATATAAATATTTTTACAAGCATGTACAAAAATCTTTTTTCTAAATATATATTCAATATATGTGATAGTGAAAAATTTATATATTGTTAATTGAAATTTTATAAGCAATTAAAAATTTTTTATATCTTATTTATATTTTAATAAAATTGTATAATTTATTTATTAAGTTAAAAAATCTATATTGTTGAATGTTTTTCTATTTCCATATTTCCATATTCCATATTATGAACATGCTGATAATGAATAAAATATACGTATGTAGAACATTATAATACACTATTTTTGTTTTTTAGCAGTTTCTAATGCTTTATTCATTATAACATCTGCATTTCTTCGTTCTTGTTTCCTTTTTAAACGCTTTTTTTTCCTTAGAATATTATTCCAATTAATTTGACCTTTCATTTTTAAGTTTTTCTCATCTATAATTCCAGGTACAATTTTGGATTCTAATTCTGAAATATTATATTCTCGTATTGTATTATAAAGTGGATTTATAAATTCCAAGGTATCATCTTGCCAAGGAAGCAAACCAATTGGATATTCTGCCCAATTATAAGTTGCTAAAAAATAAATAACTTATATCTATTTATATGTCTATTTATATAAACTTATAACTATTTATTAATATCTTAGAAAACTTATAACTTTATATACTTACCAACTGCGAAATTCCAATAATTATTTCTAATATTTTCATTAGTAAAAATATGATATGTTTTATCTTGTAAATTATTTTGTGTATTATCTTTATTTAATACACATTTATCAAATTGGATATCTTTGAGAATAAAAGTTTTTTCATATTCATAAGAATCCATATTATTTTTATCAATTGTTATATAAAGATTCATTAAATTTAATAATAAATGCTTGTTATCATTATCTATTATTGGACTTATTAATTCTAAAAGAGGCACAATGAATTTAATTGAGAATTCATTTACATTTAATATAAGCTTTGAAATAAATTTTATATCAGTTAGACATGGTAATACTATATCTGATAAATTAAACCATAATACACATTTCAAATGCGGATAAATACGATCTGTTTCTTCTTTGACTTTAAGTTCAAAAGTTTTTATTGGTAAATTTTTTTGTGTTTTTTCTAACTGATATTCTAGAACTCGAGATATACAATGTGCATTATTTAATTTTAGAAAACTATATGATATAGAACTTATCCATAAAGAAGCTAGTAATCTCTTTTCTTTATTTATTTCTTCATTATGTACTAATTCAAGTAGTTTTATAATTAATACTTCCATGAAATCTTTTTCATATAATACAAATATTATATCTTTCCAAAACTCAATCATGCCCAATGGTAATACATTTTTTTGTAATGCAGTTTCAATATCCTCATTTTGAGTAAAAATTAATAAGATATCTTTATTTGGTAAAAAAATTTCTGAATTAAATAATGTATTGCAAACTATATTTTTTTTATTAGGTATAGATTTTTTGTTAAGATATCTAGATATTTCTGATAAAAGAACGATTCTTGCAGTTTCTAATGTATATTTTTTATCTTTTTTTATATCAGTCTCTCTAACAGTCTCAATATAGTTATCTTTTTTATTTTGCACATCTTCATTATTTTTTTCCAATAAAGAGATAGCATAAGAACGTAGATCTTGTAATGTTTCCCTATTAATGATATTAATTTATTAATATATATTTATCATAAGCTAATATCATAAAATAATTGAATGTTACACATACCTCAATTGAGAATCTGGAACATTAGATACTAAATGATAACCAGCATGAATGTACAAACTGACAGAACTCCAGAGTTCAATTAAATCACTAAAATCCTGTACTTCTTCACTCTCTTGAATTTCTTTCATAGATTCTTCAGTAATTAAGCATTCCTCAATTCTTTTGCCTTCAGCTGCCCAATATTCTTCCTTTATATATATATATTTATATAAAAAGTTTTTCTTTTTTTGATATTATTATTATTAAATTTTTGTAAAAATAAGCTTACATGTAGCCAGGTTAATAATATATTCATTGCTATTCTCAATACATCAATAGATGGTAATTCATAACCATGAGCAGTATCATGCCTTAAGTTTACTATCCATTCTGGAATATTGAGTTGCTTTGCAATCTGAAACAAGGATGTTTGCTTCGTATGTCCTATATTAGATATATGATTTAGAAATCTCATTATTGTAGTTGAATACATCAAACATAAGTCATTTTCATAACTAATTGGCAACTCGCCATTATTAATCTTGGAAGTCCATTCGCGATCTCTAATACACACTTGCATAATTGATAAAGTACAATCAACTCCTATCGGTAATTTTGGTATTCTAAAATATAAATTTTAATTAATACTCCTTATTTATGATACTCTATTAAATATTTATTATTTAATTACCTTGCTTTCCATGCAAGCAACATTTCGTATCCCATTAATTGTTCGTTTATGTTGTTAGAATAAATCTGTTTATATACTTGATGCCATTCTGCGCTATGTAATGCAAATACAACTTTTAATTAAATAAATTTTGTTAACATATAAAAATTCTAAAATAGTTATTTTAATACTTACAGAGAAAACCATGGTACTTGTTTTACATCTTCCTGCCTCATGGATAGCGCCATATTTGACCACGTGCAATGAGAAACTTTACATTTATACTATTTTGTAATTGTTTAGACTTATATATATATAAGTCTAAACAATTATATATACAGTTATATTATATATCATACAATATATTATATATACAGTTGTCATGATATGCTACCTTCTCTATCATTAAAAGTGATTCATTTCCCCTACGACAAATTTATACAAGAGAAGAATACGTTACGTCACATTGTTCTCAATGCCGTTGCTAGATTAGACAGAGATAATGTAATAAGGCTTCCATCAAAGTCAAACATTGTATCGTAATTGTGTATGTAATATATATACTTCGAATTGTGTAGCAAATATTGGATAAATAACCAAATTTATTATTATTATTATTATATAATATATAAATATATATAAAATAAATAATAAAATTTTGTAAAATATGGCAAAACAAATAAAAATGGTACTAATAGATCTTAGTGGTACTCTTCATATTGATAATACAGTGATTCCAGGTGCAGTGGAAGCTTTAAACAGGTGGTAATTTTATTTATTAAAATTATTTATATCTAATAATAAATATCATAACACATTTTATATTATGTCGATTCCATTTTATGATTTAAAATTAAATTTATTGATTTTAATGTCTATATAATGAATAATAATAGATAAATGAAGATTTAATAAATAAAATACAATTTATTAATGATATATTCTAATGATGTATTAATATGAAATTTTATTACTTCTATATAGGCTTCGAAATGCTAATATACCGTACAAATTTGTCACAAATACAAGTAAAGAATCTAGCAACTTACTATATAATCGATTAACAAAATTAGGTTTTACTGTTAAAAAGGAAGAAATTTTTAGTAGTTTAATTGCAACAAGAAAACTAATCATTTCGAAAAAATTAAATCCAATGTTATTGATTGATCCTCATGCTAATGAAGATTTTGAAGATTTGGTAAAAACAAATGAAACAATGAATGCTGTAGTAATTGGATTGGCACCGGATAAATTTCATTACGAAGAATTGACAAAAGCATTCAGGTGTTTGTTTGCATTCAGCATGTTATGTAATAAAATTTTTTTCCAATATTATTTTTCCAGTATGTTTCTAACTTTATGTTTCCAATATTTAAACATATTGTAATAAAATACCTATTACAATATATTTGGAAATAAATTATTCTTAATTTCAGGTTACTATTAGATGGTGCATCTCTCATAGCAATTCAAAAAGCTCGATATTATAAAAGATCAGATGGTTTAGCTTTAGGACCAGGGGCATTTGTTGCTGGTTTAGAATATTCTGCTAATGTAAAGGCAGAAGTCATTGGAAAACCTACTGCAGAGTTTTTTAAAGCTGCTTTAGGAAACGTATCTCCCGAAGAAGCAATTATGATCGGCGATGTAAAAATTATTTTACACAAAGTTATCAATATGTTTAATGTTTAATTTTTTGTAGTATTTGTATCTTTTTTTTAGGATGTTAAAGATGATGTAGCTGGGGCTCAAACTATCGGTATAAGAGGAATTCTAGTACAAACTGGAAAATATCGAAACGGAGATGAAAACACAATTACACCACTGCCTACAAAAGTATGCAGCTCTTTCGTACAAGCTGTAGAATATATTCTTAAAAAAGAAATTTAAATATTATGATTTTGCAATAATATAATGTATATTAGTGCACATGTACATTTATATAAGTTATTCTGTATTAAATTATATTTTATTCAAATATTAATAATTCTCTAATGATATACATGATCTAGGAATAATTTCACAATATAATAGTTTAATATAAAGTAAATATCATAATCATAAAGAATTTTTTCTGAAATGAAATATAACATTATCAAATTGTATTTTTTCTAATAATAAAATGTATTACAGATTCTTTTCAATGTATTGCGCGATTAATAGTTGAAAATATTTTACGAATATCGTCTCATCGTGTAATAGAATATAGAAAATTCATGGTATCATATATAAATATTATATATTATGTTTACAAAATAAGATGAACAATCAACTTTTTCAATCATAGAATTTTATAGATGTGAGACGATATCTATTGGATAAAAACAAAAAAAAAAAATAATTATTTATAATTATAAATTTCTATTAATTATATAACATTAGATAATAAATATTAGAATTATCATGATTAATAAATTAATATTAAAAGCAGTTGTACAGAAAAATCTTTTTACAAGAAATAGGTGCACTGCAGAAATTTTTGTTTAGTATAAAATTTGGCACCATTTTACAATCTTTTCTTTCTTTTCTTCTTTTTAATATGAGAACTTTTATTTTGAGAAAATCTATTTGTCCCTTATTAAAAAGAGGGTATATAATTAGTTTTGATTTAAAGATCTCATGTTTTAAAAGTGTAATTACAAGCGCTTTTTTAATATTATATATTAATACTTCCATTAATGAACAATGTTGTCTTCAGTGAAGAAAGCTCAGTTATAATATTTTATGAATACTGTATGAAATGCATGTCTTGTGTGTAAAATAATTACAATATTATCTACAAGTGAAGCTATGAAAAAATATACTAAATTTTTATGAACTTGCAATTATGCAATTATTTATGATATAAAAATTATAATATGAAAAAAAGTAAACAATAAAGTTTTTTTACAATGAAACAAAAAAAAGTAAATTATCAAAAAATTTCATTCAATAGTTAATACTTAAAATTTATGAAGAGAACTCTTACAAATATATAACTAAATATTAGATTCTGATAAAATATTTTCTATGATTATGCACCATAATAACATTAACTTACAATTCATATTATTTTTAAAAGATCAATAGATTATTTCATAATTTAAATGCCCTCTACAACTTATAATCTAGGATCAGGCACATATTGATTTTCTGTTGCAATAAGGAGGGTCATTTTACGAAAATACATTTCACTTAAGAAATGAATAAAATATATATAATGATAAGAATCAAATGTGGCAATAATTGATCTTTGCATAAATATACATATAATACCAATATATAAACATAAAAATGAATCAAACTTAACTGTAATTTTACAATATTTTTGGTAGTTATTCTATTAATCAACGTCCTTAACTCGAAAAACATTTATCACAGAGTTCTAAAAATTTCTAATAAAAATAAAGAAAGAAACTAAGTTATAATAACTAATTCTTTTTTACATTATTAAATAAGTATAGCAAAAACTTAGCAAATAAATACTTACACGATATGTAGCAAGTAGTATTAAAATGTAACAATAGAATAATCTCTAGATTTATTAAAAAATTGCTTCTATGTCATTTTTATAACACAAAAATTACAACATTTAGGGCCATATTTTTAATAAAGAACATTTTTCTCTTTATTTTTTTTTCTCTCATCTTTTCCTCTTATTCATTTTTTTTTTTAGAAAAGTTAAGCGTTTATCCCAATTTCGTAAAATTGGTGCAAAGGCTTTGATTTTTGATATATTGGATTTTATGTGTACAGCCCATCACCATAATTAAAGAATCTTACTTACAATCGCATTTATATGTACAATTGATAGGATTCTAATAAAATGAATGTTTTAACGTATGATTAACTACACACTTTGTGTTTTTATCTATTATAGTCTTCTAAAATCAAATTCTGCCAATATATTTATACTTGTTTTATCAATAACTGTAATGTATTTATGCTTTTTTTTTTTCATATGAAACATCATTATATATCCGTTAATGAAAAGTTTAATTAATTGAAAGTATTAAAGGCAGAATTTAATCTTATTATATCGAAGACATACTATGTTACTTCCCATATTATTATAGGAAATATTAAATTATTAATTTGGCTGTTCAATTTTAATTTGATTAATGATAAATTGACATTTTCCTCTTCCTGTCATAGTTTGCTTTTTTTTTTAAATAAAAAGGCAGGTGTGTGGAGTATTGTTTATACATATATATCTCTGATTTCATTTCTTCGATTACATTTGTTTCTAATTTTATCAAAAAAATAAAGATGGATATTATTTACAAATCATAAAAACATATAGCTACATGGAATTAATAAAAAAAATTCAAAAAGCATATGAGAAAACATGGCATTTAGAAGTTACATTCAATAATAATTTCCTGGGCCATACAATTTATACTTTTTTTGTGCTTAAATTTTTTTTCAATATTTTTAAATTGGGAAGACTATAAATGGCTGACAATAAATACTTCGCATTAAAATATAAAAAACATGTTTTTAAAAATAAAATAATTGAAATTATTTTTGTATTTGGCCACAGGATATAAATGTACAAATATGAGCAATTTATACTAATGTTTCCACACATTATTGCCTTTAAACTCATTTAATTTTAAATAGTCTACATGTAACCTGGCTTTTATTCGTCTTCAGTCGCAGCATCTAATGAAACATTCATCGAAATTTGATTGAATATTTCATGAAAAGAAGGTAATGTGAAATTGCACACTCTGCAACTAGACCACATATTTTCCGTAATTCTGCAATATTTTTATATTATTATTTTTAATAAATAAGTATTGTATAAAAGAATTTACTTACTTTATGACGGTATAAAACCAGGCACATTTTCGTAATCTCTGTTCCGATATACTTAGTCCTAACTATTTTACTGGCCGAAAATGAAGTATTAAATCTGCTGAACTTTTCCAAATAAAATGTCTGACCTAATATAAATTAAAAATAGAATTAAAAATTTCATAGATTTAAATAAATATTATTGCATAAAATGTTAGAACATACAGTTCTTAAGTCCATAGAAGGATCTAAAACTTGATCATTACATAGCAATTCTACTTTTTCTTCGGCCAGCGAAGAATTATCAGCATTTGAATCTGTATTTGTTCTATCTCCTGCTGGAGATCCTCCAGAAACTGTATTTCCAGCACCTGCTACTGATCCTGAGTCACTTCCAGCACCAAGCACTTTATCGCAAACATGTTCTGCTACTTTACGAATTTGTATAAAATCGTTTGCGATTAAGCGATCTCTTAAATATACATATAAAATTCATATTATAAATATATTATTTGATAATATTTATAGAAAAAACTATTTATTTATTACATACTTTTTTAAACTTTTTACACCAGATGTGGCATGTGGAAGAATATAAAATGATATTTTAATGAATTGTGGAAGATTTTTATCCACAACAATATTAACTACCCATGCTGGTACAGTTTCATTTAATAGTACTCCTTCCATTTCTCCTGCAGCATCTCTAACTAATAATCTATATAAAGGTCTTCCTCCTACTTCACTAAAATATAATTATAACTTTATTGTAAATTATAATTCAAGATATTTAATTAAATTTACTCTTATTAAAAAAAAATGAATATATATATTTTATTTTATATATATATTTTTATACCTAAATATAACAGGTGTGTGGGTTGGTACAGAGAAATATAGATTTCCTCCTCTAGTGTGCATAGAACCATTACCATCATTACTGTTACCCTCATTTTCATCATCGACATGTAATGGTCTCCACCAATGTTCAAGTAGAGCTTGTAGTAAAAGATTTCCATAATTCACTAAAAAAAAAAAAATTTAAGTTTAAAATTTAATTATTTAAGAAATAACAAAAAAATAATATAAAAAATAAATATTACCTTTTTGATCTACTGCATCATTTTCTGCAAGTCCAGTTTCTTTTGCAGAAACCCATGCAGAAAAACAATCATTTTCATCTTGACCTAAATGAATGGTCAACATCTATAAAAATATAATATTAAAAATTATCTTCAATTTCGCATTATATTAAAATTTTATTATAAGATTACATACCCCAGTTTTAAGATCTATACTAAACCAATTTGGAACATATACCATTTTATTTCTTTTTTTTATCTCTTGTTCAAAATCTATCTTTCCTAAATCTTCAACTTTACGCGCTTTTAATACATCATATAAAGCTACATTTTCTTCTGTATCTTTTGTTAGAACATGTCTTCGATCATTTAAAACGTGACAGTGCCGTATCGCTGGAGCACCTAATATTTTTTGTGCAGGTTCTGTATTTTTAGGTGTTATCCCACTAGCAGAATCACAATAGTCTTCTATTCCTAATTCTTGCCAATCTTTTTGACTTATAGACTATAATAAATTTCAAAATATTATTTATACTATTGACAAGATTTTTTCTTATATATAATAAAATGTACAATACCCAATTATTTATAGTAGATTCACTAGTTGCTACCCAAATGCTAGATTGATCAGGTGTCATAACCATTTTTAACACAGGTGCTTTTTCTTCACAAATAACTGTATACCTTTCAGGATAACATGATAATTCAGTCATTACAACTCTTTTATCTCTACCTCCTGATATTACATGACTGAAAGTATCTGTTGCCTAAGGATAATTATTCCAGTATAATAATTTGCATCATTTATTTTAATAAAACATTAATAAAGAACAAAAAGGAAGAAAACTGTAATTACCAATAATGCCCAAACACCTTCTTTATGTACTCTATAAGTTTGAATACATCTTTGTTGTCCCAATGACCAAAGTTTAATTGTTCCATCAGAACTGGCAGATAAACACTGAGTACCATCTCTATTTAATACTAATGCTTTGATATTATCCATATGACCACGAAGTTTCATTAATTTAGTACAATGTCTTGGATCCCATACTCTTAAAACTTTTTCTGTGCTACCACTTACTATAATTGTTCCAATTTGATTCATGGCAAGACTATATATAGAATCTTTATTTCCACTAAGAGATGATGCTATAAATTATTCAAATATTAAGTCAAATAATATATAAACAATAATAAATCATTTAGTTATATATATATTAATTTTTTACTTGTTACTGTATTGTTGCTTGCTGTAAGAGCAGTTAATGTATTTACATCCCATAAGAAGATTAATTTATCTAAACCACCACTAGCAACTTGCTCTTTATCTTTAGCATATGCTAAAGCTTTCACATAATCTTTATGTGTTCTTAAAGTAGACATACAAAAACCTTTATGTGCATTCCATACTTTTACTGTAGTGTCGGAACTGGCTGATATTACTAAAACGATTATTTTTATTAATTAAAAGTGATTGTAGCATTAATATAACAATGTTAATTTAATGTGACATTTTATATATATGGATGTAATAAATATTATATATTAATTTAAAAATGTGAATCAAATACGTACAATTTTTGCCACCACAACATAATACTATATCATTAACCCAATCTGTATGATGTTCCATTGATTGAATGTATGGATCTTTCATATTTTTGCAATTCCATATCCTTATAATACTATCTCTACCTGCAGAGTAAAGCCTATGCAAAGCTGGATCGTATTGTAATGAATTAATCCCAGCTCTGTGCCTTTTTTCCACTTCATCTCTTATAACCATGGATACCTTTATTAAATATATAAAATATATAAAATAATATATATAAATATATATAAAATAATAAAATAATTGAGTGAAATATTCTGAATATATATTTTTATCACAAATAAATTTATTGAAAGTCTATAAATATAAAAAGTCATTTATGATATTATTTATTACAAACAACATTATTAATTATATAATTAAAAGAAAATTATGAAATCGATAAATAATTGCATATAGTATCAAACAACAAATATGAAAAAATCATAGATCAATCGTATTTCTATTATTTCACACACCATCATGTGGTTTTTTTAACGATCGGCATATCAATATTAATCAGCATGTAATAATGTCGTTTTCATAAAAATATTTTATTCGATTAAAAAAAATATATATATATGAAAAGCTACGTTGTAATAATATGTTTCAAAAGAAAAAAAGTATTACGAACAAGTACCTGTACTTTCTTTCGAGCACTTTGCCCGCCTGTCTTATGAGCTGCCATTATACCGCGAACTGTTCTATAGTTTTGTACTTAAAGATAATAGAGAAAAACATTCGAAATGTACTACAGTTAAACTGTAACACTTGCACGTTCCGATGCGTTGAAACCACGCAGTAGTTTCATCGTTGATTACATAGGAAACCTTACATGACCAGAAGGTACTGCGTTTTCAACGCTCGTAAAAAACAATCCAGTGCACATCACACTGAAATTTAAACAGCTGTCAGACTATCAGATACAAACAGTGTTCATGACGATCAAATATAGATACTGTTAATGTTCTAACGCCGGTATCAATAAACTCCGACGTTATACACATAACGTTACATCACGTTTCAGAACATCAGACAACGTTTCGACACCATTGTTGTGATTGAATAAAGCCGGATATGATTATCATTTGTATTTTAACAAATATTGTATTTATTTGATCTATAAAAAACAGATTTTAATATAGAATTTTAAATAAAATTAACGATAATAAAATAAATTAAAATTAAATTTGGATTTAAAAAATCAGTATTTTAAGAATTATATCTTATAACCAATAGTAATCTTGTAACCAATAGTTGTACAATAATCAACTGTGAATATATATCACTGCATTTATCACAACCAATGAAAAATATTAAAGCATTGCATTTGGATGCATGTATTTATATATTATTTTTAAAAACTATTTCAATTAAAATAATAATTTTATAATTTATTTATAAAAAAATTTCAATAGATTATTAAAAATTATTTATAGGTAGTATTAAATAGAAAATGCAATACTATTTTATATTTTGCTAAATTTAAGAACACAAAACAATTCTTATTCTTACAAATAATAATTATTTTTTATAACGTCGTATTAAAAAATATAAATAGAATGTCATATATATTTTGTTAATAAAAAAAATTAATGCAATAATTTGAATTTTTTTTTTTACTTCTTTTTATATTTATTTTGTTAAAATTGAAGGTGTTCCAAAACTCATCAAAGCGCCAACTAGCGAGAATATTCTTTATTAATTCTACCCGAAAAGACAGCATCCGTCTCCGGTACGCCCATGAAAGAGGCAAAGGTGTCCGTCAGTTGAATGCCGCCATTTTCGTGGTGTGTAAACGTTCTGTTGATTTTGGAAAAATAAGCGCATGATCATTTTGACGTATCATACGTCTTTGGCAAGTTCTACATCATGAATCAGTCACGGAATTTTACATCATTATTAAATCCGAGTTATTTGCAAAACGCGCAACAAAATGCTGCGACTGCAAACGCGGCTGCCGCTGCAGCTGCAGCAGCTGCCGCGGTAAGTGCTGCAATTGCAAATGGAACACAACTTAACACCAATTCCAATTCCACAACAAATAACACAAGAAAACGCGAAGCGGAAAGTACGTTTGAAAGTTTCTTAATATGCCATTGATTTTATTCTTGTATCATATTGCGCGACCTGATTTCTTATGTATAATTTGCTTAATCATATGATTTTACGTAGCTTAATATAATCATATAATTTTCAATTCTTGATTTTTTCATATAATATATAGGTGCTGCGTAATATGTGATCTTTTTTCATTTTTTAAAAAAAATTTAAAATTTATTTAAATATTAACTTAAAAAAAAATTTCAAGAATTGTGAATAAATTAGACATATTGTAGGTGATGGTAAACAGGAAAAAGAGACGAAAGAGGAACGTAGGAAGAGGAGGAAAACTAGATGGAGCGGTAGTGAACATGACAAAACTTTTATACCAGGAATGCCTACAGTTCTACCAACAAACCTGACTCCTGAACAGGAGAAAGCTTACCTCTGTAAGTTTATTTTCTGTATTATTTTGATCATCATTTCAATTTAATTATGTATTATATATATACATATATATATACATATATGGGCAGGATATGATTTAAGAATCATGCTTCTGTGTATAAATTTTTGAAACTTAATTTGTAGTACTATAAAAGATGTAAGTATGTATATATTGTTAAAAATTTATATTTGCCAAAGGTAATTGCCCTTTAAATATTTTCAATAAGCGAGTTTGGCAATAGGAATTGCCAATTTTGCTAAATGATGAAGTTATCAGATTTCTTAGATTGTTTAAATAAATTATATTAAATTTTCTATCAATTATTTCTTGTATATTTATATATATATATCAAGGTTTATCACATATATATAAAATATTAAAAGAAAATAAATTATTAAAAAAAAAAACTATTGAGGTATATTTTATAATTTTTTATGAAAAGAAATAGAAATAGAAATTTATTCAAGAGAATTTACAAAAATTCAAACAAAATACTAGACTTAAATGAATATTCTATTCTTTTGAAACATGCTTACATTATAGAATGTATATTGGTATGGCAAATTGGCAATATCTAACTGTTGGGGTTTCCGCCCCCTCTAACCCGTTGGTTTACAGTTCAGCTGCAGATTGAGGAAATCAGCAGGAAGTTACGCACTGGAGATCTTGGAATTCCACTTAATCCTGAGGAAAGGTTTGAACGAAACTTACATACCAAAAATGACCATAACATATCTACAATACCTATCTACTGACCATTCAGCAGCCCATAAATACAGGGGCCTTATGATATGGCTCCAGTACAGTTAATGTGGGATACTGATGTCTGTTTGAAAAGATTGGGCTTGATTAAAGCCACCACGCAGCACAGAAGATGAATTTTGATAATATTGGTTTGCCCTAAACAATTTCTTTTACTAATTCATTTTTATTAAACACTGCTACAAAATTCTTGTTAGATATATATTGAAACAATTTAGGGCAATAATTAAATAGTTATTAGTTATCAATAATTAAATATAAAAAAAATAAAGCATTTTTATAATGAATATATTTATTTTGAAAATAAAAATGCATTGTTTATATGTAAATGCGTCTTTTAACATTTTATACAATTAAAAGTATAAATTAAAAAATAATTATAGTAGCAGTGTTTAACATACAGTGGGTATTCTAGTCCATATATTTTCTAAAATAGTTATATTCTTGCACATGTAGGGAAATTCAGAGGTGTTCCTATGCAGAATGCTTTATTCAAGTTAATAGGCTGTATTTCATTATTGTATTGACCAATTAATAAAATAATTTTGTGCATAGGGCACCTTTATAAATTTTTTTATTAGGCTGCCGTGATTTGCACGGCATTTTATATTTGTTGTTTAATACCACAGGAATATTTATCATTAATTAATAAAAATAGACTACTATCCTTAATCACAACTTAATGACCAGATTTCAGGCAAATAATGAAATTCATAAAAATATAATTGCTAATATAAACATAATACTATAAAGATCAATATTACGTTACTTTCAGGTACAACTTAAATAAATACACATTAATTTTTCTAATAAATTAATTTACTCCAATAGGTTTAACTTTTCTGATTTTAGCTGGAACCATTATTTTATATCATTGTGTTTCATTAGTATTATACAGTATAGTAAGATATACAAATTATTAACTAATCCAAAAAAATTATTTCCTAATAATCACAGGATCAATCTTAGCAGCTGACATCATACCGATTTCTGCCGTGCACAAACGCGCAGTCTTCCAGGTGTTACCTACTGAATAGATTTATAGCAATGTTATACTCAACATTACATAATTTTTTATTCTTTATTTTCATATCTTGACACTGTTGGAAAAAATTAATTTTTTTTTTAAATTTGTATAAATATAGTATATTTTAAGACTAATTAACAATTTCATTAGAAACATTTTTTTAGCTTTTAAATTAATAATTTCAGATTTAATAGATACATTTTTTAAATACAAATTATTACAATTACAATTGTTAACTATTAAGATTTTTATTTAATACAATACTTCATCTTTAATGAAAGAATATATATAAAAATAATATATTATTCAATTTTTATTTCAGTTTTTTAATAACAAAAATTAAAATTTAATGAATTATTTAATGAAAAATTTTACATATATTTTATAAATGATTTCTTAAAATTTTCCAACATGGTCAGAATTTCTTTTATTTGTTAAAAAGACAGAAAAGAAATATATGTTAAAGAAAAAATATGATTAAAGCCTAATAACTTTGAAAATCAATTACAATGTTATCTTAGTTTCCAATCTTCCACTTAATCACACAATCATAGTAGGATCAGGTTGCTTGTATGCTAGTACCATCTTAATGCAAACTTTGTTTCTTGACAAAATTTTATTTTTTTATTTTGCAGATCTCCATCTCCAGAACCTATATATAGTAGTGATGGAAAACGGTTGAATACAAGAGAATATCGTACTAGACGTAAATTGGAAGAAGAGCGTCACAATCTTATTCAGAAGATTCTCAAAATTAATCCAGAATTTAAACCACCACCAGATTATAAGTAATTAAAAATACTTTTTTATTTATATATTTAGAATTATAATATGAATGATTTATTGTATTTAAAATATTATTTTTAGACCACCAATTATACGAGTACATGATAAAGTAATGATTCCTCAAGAAGAACATCCAGACATTAATTTTGTTGGTCTTCTGATTGGTCCACGTGGAAATACATTGAAATGTAAATTTAAGATATTCATAAATATATAATATTAATATAATTACTCTTACTCAAAAAAGTTTTTAAAAGAAATGCAAATATGATTAATCATTTTTGATAAATAATATAATATAATATAATATAAATATAAATAATATTTAATATATAATATTAATCATATATACAAATAATTATAACTACATATATATTAACATTGCGTGACAATCATTTTTTCTCATTAATCATTATACATAAATTTTATATAAATTTTATTAGTTCTTTTTTTTTTGTATTTTATAGCAATGGAAAAGGAAACTGGAGCAAAGATAATAATTCGTGGTAAAGGTTCTGTAAAAGAAGGAAAAGTTGGAAGGAAAGATGGACAACCTTTACCTGGTGAAGATGAACCTTTACATGCATACATTACTGCTAATAATTTGGATGCTGTAAAAAAGGCCGTTGAAAGAGTATGTAATAGTTTTATAAATTATTATATAATTATTTATAAATATTTCATTAAATTATTTTTTTGTAGATTCACGAAATTATACGACAAGGTGTGGAAGTACCTGAAGGGCAAAATGATTTGAGACGTAATCAACTTAGAGAATTGGCTTTATTGAATGGAACATTACGTGAAAATGATGGACCACGTTGTACTAATTGCGGTGCATCCGATCATAAATCATGGCTGGTTAGTAGATATAGATATAAACATAGATATTTAAACGCACTTAATTAAAAACAAATCAATTTCATTCTTATCTTATTTATTAATAGTGTCCAGATAAACCAAATGTGACAAATAACATAGTATGCTCAAGTTGTGGTGGAGCAGGTCATATTGCACGTGACTGTAGATCTAAGAGACCTGGACAAGGTGGACCAGCTGCTGCAGGCATGGGAGGAATGGGACCAGGTGGAGATAAAGCTAAAATAGATGAAGAATATATGTCTCTTATGGCAGAATTAGGTGAAGGTCCACCACCTGATCGTTCCAAAACTGGACAGCCACGTCAACCAAATCCAAATCCTAATTATCCTGGTCTTTTTGATAGGTAAATTTTATTTTTTATTAATATAATTAATTTTTGTAAAAGATTATAAATAACTACTTTTTTTCAATTTTGCTTAGACAACAAGCACCTCGTGCTTTAATGGCAGCACCAGCACACCCGCCACCACAAATGATGCAAGGTGGACCAATGATGCCTCCGCCAGGAATGGCTCCGCCACCATGGAGTCAAGGAGAAGTAAATAATATGAATGGTATGAACATGCAATGGCAACCTCCAGTTAGTATGCCTCCACCACCTGGTGTAATGCAACCACCTCCACCACCGCCTGGTTCCACATCTCAACCAAATATTCCACCATTGATGCCTTGGATGGCCGGAAACAATCAACCACCGCCACCAGGACAAATGCCACCTACACAAATTCCACCACCTGGAATGGGTATACCACCATGGCAACAAGGACAACAAGGACCAATGCGTCCACCTCCACCTGGAACTGCTCCACCACCAGGTTTTCCAGGATGGCAACCACAACAAATGGGCGGATGGCCACCAGCAGCTCCTGTTCCTCCCCCACCTCAGCAACAAACACCAGCTCCACCTGGCATTGATCTCAACACTTTACCTACATTATTAGCACAACCACCTCCTCCACCACCACCAACTAGTTAGTGTAAAGAATCATCGTATCATCTAATCAAATCTTTATTCATATAATAGAGGGATATTATTGGTCGTGTCAGTAAATAGATTATAATATTGGACTGAAAACAGTTAACTATTAATTAGTTGAAATGATTCACGATTTTAAATAGCCCGTTCGTCGTACATGGCTTTGTTCTTTATAAGTAAAGAAATATATAGTTAGATAAATATTTTTCAATCCATCTTAAGGACCATATACTCTTTATAGAAAATTACTTTAGAATTCATGATATTTTCGGAATTTTAAATTAAAAATTTGTAAGATTTGTTTTGGTTACCATTACTTTCAAACATTGTACGTATCTAAAGCTTTCTTACAAGTATAAATGTAAGTGATATACCAAACACAGTTTTATAATGTTGTTTCAGGCACTTTATAATTTTTACTATATGTTTCTCTAAACTTAATATCATATATTATAACTTAGAACATAATTTACTTGTATTTTGTCAGTAGTATGCATAATACTTTGTAGTATCACATTTGTTGTTCTGTACAAGTACAATTATGATCTACTTTTGCTTCAATATATTACCTATTGTGAAGACAAACATTATATAATAATCAACAAATTACAATAAATAATCAGAGCAAAAATATTTTTTTTATGGAACTGTGCTAAGTTCCTATAATAATATTATTCATTAGTAATATTAATATATATAATTATTATAATTAATTTTGTATTATTATTTCAATAATTTTGATGAATATAATTTGTCATCATGAAATATTAGGTGATACAATGAAGCATCAGAATTGTAGCTTGTGCAAATAATAATTTGTCAATTTTAAATTTCACATTTAGATTATTTATATGTTAAGTATAATTTTTGCAAAAAGGTCTTTTTCACACATATATTTACAATTCATTCATTACCAAAATGTACATTGTAAACGTCCAAGCGCAATAATTTCGTATCACTGATTCACTAATAAGAAGTAAATTTATTGAACAAAAATCTTAAATTATATAAAACATTCGCTTTATATGAAATAATATTAGTATTGTGTGTTACATTTAGAACACAGTTTGTGAAACTTCATAGCTTAACGTGTATATTAATTACACAATAAAGGTATTAAAATATATATTGTTTATATATTTTTGAACACTCTATAGAAAAAATTTATATATAAACAAATATACACGTGATCTATAAAAATATATAATAAAATATATAAAAAAATATATAATATATATATAAATATATATATGTATAGTATATATGATATTAAAAAAAATTTTTTTAATGAATTAAGGAAAACAAGACAATAAAATTAATCGAAATTTTTTGAGTGCATAAATTTTAAAAAATAAACAAAAAGAACAAATAATGAGAGAATAAAAATAAATAAAAAATTATGAAATCAGTGCTATCTTTTAAATATCACAAATAAAACATAAAAAAAGAATAAAAAATGAAAGAAAGACAGAAATAGAGTAAGAATTATTATCTGATATTATGGAATACACAAAATATTTTTTCAAAAATTAATATTTATTCGAAAAATGATATTGATTTTTAATTCTTATTGTATCTTATTTTTGAAGAGATTTTTTTATCAAAAGATGGAGCTGACGGTCAATTCTTACTTTATCTTTATACTTTTTCCACTATTTTTTGTTCTTTTTTTATATGTTTTATATATGATATTCTAGAAATGGCGTTAATTTTATAATTATTTTATTCTTATCTTTCTTTTATTATTTGCCTTCTTTGTTTATATTTATTTCATTTAATTATAATGTTACATATTGAATTAACTAAACAAACTTTTTAATGTGGATTAATCGATTAATTTATCGAAATGTTGTTTTCTATATGATTATCAATATTCGTTTTGGCGGATGAAACGCCAAATATAGCAATCTTTAAGATTAACAAAAAATTATAAATAGATAATAAATATATTCAAAGTTATCAAGAAAAATTCATAGATGAAGAATTTTTCTCTTTTTTTTTCAATTTTTATGACTACATCATTAACATTATTATTTCACCTATGCCATCTACATTACAATTAGCAGTTGCGGTTATTAAATAGTGTCTCCATTACTAAATCAAGATCGACTTTTTTATTATCAATTCAATCTTAAATCTTTTTTAAATTTTTCAATCTGGTAATGTTGAGTCTATTCTAGATTTAGTCTTTGGTAGTCTTTTATATATATATATATATATATTAATTATTATATCTTTGCAGATTTTTGATGGTGTGAAAAAATACTTTAATTGCATTTTGCATTTTATAATACATCTAAAAAAACGCTTTAGATTAAAGTTTTTGATATATTTTCAATTGACATTTAATGTGACCTTGTCATTGTATATTGTTACATTTATATATTTTAACGTTTAATTACTAAATTTCATATATTGACAAATTTATGTTCACGTTTAGTTTCTTCAAAAAAGTTTAGTTTCAAAAATTTAATATGTTGAAAGAAACTGTAAGCAGTTGGACAATCGGATTATATTCATTTGTTGAGATTTCACAATTTACTCCAATGGTTTCGAATTTATGGGATAAAGAAACATTTAATATAGCGCATGTACATGGCACAAAAATAAAAAAATCCGATATATTAATTGGATATTTAATTATATTTTGGGTTATTTTATATTTTATATATGAAAAGTGCCTTAATGTAAGTTTAAATTATTTTATATTTCTACACTATGTTATTATATTAATTAATGAATTTGTCAATTACTTTTTTTTTTGGGTTATTTGCAAAGAGTACAGATAAAGGATAACAAAGTCTATTGACAATACATTTGATAATTTTCATTTATTAACACAGTCGTTACTTCGACGAATACGTATTCCATTGATGCAAAGAAATAGAATAATCAAAGCTATATGGAATTGTGGATTTTGCTTTGGTAGCATTTGTTACCTAAAATCATCTTCGATTAAAACAATAAATTTGTTCTCTGAAGAACGGAAGATAACACATGAAGAATTGGATGTTATTTTACATAAAAGCTTTTACTTTCATCAAGCAGGATTAGAGATTTTATGTCATGGAACTTGGATAAAAGGCTGGGCCAATTTATTATTTGCATCTTTTGTCATAAATCCATATCAAGAAAAGTAAAGCAGATTTTGTTATAATATTTAGCATATACTTGATAATTTATATAAATTTTTTAAACACAAGATTTATTATAATTTTTGTTTTAATTTAATTTTTTAATTTAAATAATATAGATTATAGTGTTATAGAAAATTATTTTATGATTTTTTATAAAAATTGTATAAAATTTTAGATGGTGTACAGTAGTGAGTACATTTCTATTTTACAAAGCAGTTGATACTATTATAATAAATATTTGTCGAATCTTATTATGTATATCTCACTTTACTGGAAGAAAGTTATCTAAATTATTCTTCTGCTTTCATTGTCTCAATTGGTTAGTATATGAGAAAATTGATATATTTTTAATTATATTTTCTTAATTGTTCCTTATTGTTTTAATAATTTTTCAGGATATATTTATATGTATTATTTGTACCAAAATTGATGTTATGGTCAGGATATGTAGAACAGACAAGAGCTCAGTTTAGTTTATGGCTATGGTTTATAACAGAATGCCTAGATTCTGTAATGCTATAACATATATATTTATAAAATATTAAATTACAAGTACAACATTTTATAAGAATTTTTTTCTTAAAAAATTTAATTTCTAGGTATGGATCAAACTTTTAGGATGTGCAAAAGCTACTCATTGGTTAGAAATTTGTTTATTTCCTTCACCAACACAAGAAGCAATTGAATTAGCAGGAATACAAAAACGACACAGAGATTCTTTAAAGAAATTAGTTAACAAAACATCAAAAAAAACTGAACTCTGGCAAACACTATTTTGTAAGTATTTTCAAATAAAATATTTATATCAACAAATTAATTGCGATTTTTATTAAAAACAGGTGCTGTGGCTATTAAGAAAAAGATTAAAAGAATTCGTCAAGCAAAGCAAAATGATTGTATATCAATATCTGATGTTACAGAAAAAAAATTAATTCAGATAGAGAAAAAAAACGAGATAAATCAACAACAAAAAGATGAATTTAAGGAATAACATAAGAGTATAAAATTAAAAACGAATAATATAAATTTAAATCAAATTTACAAACTTTATTAAAATTAATTATGAAAAAAATTTAAATGAAAAATATTAAAGAATTAAAAGAAAAAAATAAAATCATGCACAAACTCTTATAATTTTTCATTATAAAAATCAAGTTTATTTAAAAATTTTATACAAATATTTATTTATACATATAGACATCCATATATTTTTTTTTCACTTTTTTCTAGAAATTTTCATTATTTATTTATTTATTAAATTAATTATAAGTAATGTTATTTTTATATATTATATCTTTTTTTAAAATTTTACATAATTAATTAAATATTTTAGGAATGCTAGCAAAATATGCAAATAAAGATGTAATACAAGAATGAATATTTAAAAACAATATTTCATACTCATTAAATGTTTATTTAACGAACCTTCGATTTTGAAATGATGATGATGAAATGTCTTTTAAAATTATTTATCATTTATTTTTTAAACATTAAGCTACAGAAATAAAATCTACAAGAAATAATATTTTTAATAACAATAATTTTTATACTGATTACACAAAATAATATTGTCTTTAATTTTATGAAAAGTAAATTTTATTTATTATCCGTAATAATGAATAAAAATTAAAGATTACAATATAATGTTATATATTATATATAAAAGAAAGTTATGATTGCAAAACAAGTTAAATTTTAATATTATATTTAGCATAAAGCAAATTATATTTAAACTATTAATTATAATTATATTTAAACTAATATTTTGCTGTCTTTTTTTTTTATTTAAAATCTAAAAAAAATGTACAATTTTTATATATATATATATTTAAATAATAGAAAATTGATAAAAATTTGGGAAAATTTATTATTATTATTAAATAAAATTAATTAATTAATTATTAATTAATTATTAAATAAATTTTCAACTTGATATTTATATACAAAATATAAAATTTGTTATTGTTTAACTTATTATTTTTTTAATTAGAAAATGAAAAATAATAATTATTATTTACACAATTTTTCATAGTTAAAATTGTATAAAATAAGAAATTAAAAAAAAATTATTAAATAATAAAATATATATTTAAAACAAATTGCAAGAAGTTAAATATATAATCTAAACAAGATCATGAATATCTTAAAAAAATTAAGTTTATGTTTATTATATACCTATATACATACATATATATATGTATGTATTCATGCTAATATTTTATTACAAAGAAAAATTAAACAAATGACACATTGTTCCTAGATATATAAAGTTTTATTTCTGATCATTTTGGACTGTGTCAATAAAATATAGTACATGTATTTAGGCTGAATTGTTCCACGATGTTATACAATTTAATGAAAAATATTATAAACGAATGTTTGAATAAAATCCTATTCAGTATGGCAGCAGCATCATATGCCTTGTTAATATCAATTTCTAAAAATTGTTAAAATATTTAGTTTAGAAACTTATACATAAAATGTTGTATTATACAAATGCATAATACATTCTTTTTTTTGACTTGACAACAATTAATGATAAAATAATTCAAGCGATCTTATTTTTATATCAATGTCTGATGAGAAATATCATAGGGAATTCCTATGTTTTTGTAAATGTGTAAATATACCTTTGTTGTTAATGTAATAAAAGAATTATAATTTTGTTTGCAAATAGATATTAGATAAGATGACTCAAATTAAGTGTCATATGAAATAGCTACTAATTATAACATGATGTTTTATTTAGAATCTAAGGTCACTTACATATAAAGAATGGTATGTTATTCAAGTCAAAAATTCAGAAAGATATAAATTGTAAGAATCTTGTTATTATTTAATACTTTATTTACAAGACATTCTCAAAGTTACATTCTTAATTTCTTAAACACAGTTATTTCTCTTATTTTCTCTTATGACCTTAGATTGTTTAGAAGTAATTTTTTTGGATTTATTAAATTTTATTTTATAAAATAAAATTATGAGATTCTACTAAAAAAAGTATAAAAAATGTAAAAAAGTAAAAAACTAAATTTATACCTTTTTATAACTGCTTCATTTGACACTTATCTTGAAATATCTCAATGCATTGTAACATTATATTATTATAACATTTCAAGAAACATTTCAGAAAATATTTTTTAAAAAAAATTATGTTCGTCGCACTTCTGAAAGTTCATTTAAACAATGTATATCTTATTGTATTAACAAATGAAAATCACATATAAAGTGAAAATGCATAATCGAATCGATGATAAAATATTTAATCATAGGTTGATTAATTATGCTTTATGCATAATCCGATGAGTAAAACTACATTTAATATAGCAACACTTCTCTCCCTGAATGCGTTGTAAGTCCGAGTGCTGAATATAAGGCCATTTCATGTGAATGACGACCGTTAAAAGTTCAACACACCATTTATAAAATCTTTTCCTCTATTGGAACAACATTTTCAATCTCGTAAATGAAGACAAACTGTCTGCTTAATTTACGTAAGTTTTATAATCGAGCTTATAGACACACTCACAAAATATCTTGCCATATTACTTTTATCGTGTGTAGTAATGGTTATTTATAATATTTATATATATATATATATATATGTACATAATGTATACATATATATACATATACACTTACATATATATATATATATATATATATATATACATATACACACACATATACATATATATAGTTAAATTGTTTTGTAACTTACGTTGAGTAACTATCACTGCGCTTATTTCCTCGTAATAACATATAATCAGTTTCTCTTTTCTTTCTTTTTTTCTACTTTTTGTTTTTTTTTTTTTTGTTTCATTATTATTCTTCATACATTCATTCAGATCTTTCACGCTCTCTCTCAAACAACAAAAAATTAAATTAAAAAAATATTAATAAACATAAGATCCATATGTAAAATCCATATCAATGTCATGACGCCAGCCAGAGATAATTTTAATTTTTTTTGTTTCTTTGAAACTTTTCTTATTGTTAACATTTTTAAAAGAAATATTTTATTATTAATCACAATAATGATAAAATTTATTGGAAGAATTTATATTATTGAATAATTCATTGATTAGATTTCTTCGAAATAGTGCATACAAAATTGTCAAAATGTTTTTCTTTTCCAATGTACTTTTGTTAATTACTGGCAGGCATTAGTAGTTCGTCGTGATATAGACGATAAGCCGAATGGTAGGACTAAGTTAAAAAATCTATGATCAGCGATCAAAAAAGAATTTTTGTCGAAAGAATTTTTAAGCTTCACTCTTAAGACATAAAATTCTGGATATATACTTAATTAATAATAATTTTACCAATCAGGCTCTACTTATTTTCCTGTTTTTATAATTTTTTTTATTTTATTTTTTGCAAGTTTATTGGGCTGAAACAACAGTAAATCGCAAACACATGACTGTTGTCATCAAAAGTAAGTCATTAATTTCGTAGTTTAGGAAGACAGTAAATTATTCAGAACGCGATTGCAATAATAAACAGTTGCAACGTTTTCATTTTTCTTCGTGCATTTCATTTTATTTTCTTGTCCCTTCATGCACGCCATGTTAATATGTGTAATAAACATCTCACAGTTCGTCGGTGGTCTGGAACGAACGTAATTACGAAAGTGTACCTTATTACAAACATATTACGTATTATGAGCAATAAAAGTTGAGTCAGTGAAACTTTCTTAGGCCCAACACTTCTTTTTTTTCTTATTTGCTTTTCTTATCGCCACTTTGCGCGCTTTATATGGATGCAAATATTTAGAATTTACAACTTCATACCTAGAGAGACACGCGATTTCGTTCTCTATTCTTTTCCTTGTTTTTTATTTTGTGAAAATATGGCCCCATTGTTACAGGCTCGATGTAAACTTTAGAAATTGTTCTCTTCCTTCCTGAGTCTGCAACAGGCTTTATCGAATTCCATGCCATATACATGTCAATGATTGTGATCCTTTTTTTATATAATTTTTACAATTGCTTTAATTTATCGTTGATCGATCTTTATTTTAAAGCTCATTTCAATTTGAAACTACTTTGTGTAAAATATAACACTTCGGTCCCACATTTTTTTATAATTTTTTCTTCGTATTTAATAACATATGAGAACACTTTAATGCGATATAATTACAAAATAGTGTTCTTTGAAATTTTTTTTCAAGTTAATGGAACATTAATGTTACTTTAAACATTTATAAACAACAAATAAATATTATATGTTTAGTTTTTTATATCTATTGTTCTCAATCACCCTTGAAATGGTAACATCTAATGTAATACGTTTATCAATTTATTTTTCTAAAGAATCACAACTGTACCGTGAATGCAACTGGCATAAAATCGAACCCTCTTTAAGTCTCTCCGTATTAATTCTATATTGTGTACATATTTTGACAACCTGATCGTTCTACATATTTTTCGTTCGTTTGTAATATTAATAATAAAATCACTAGTCAAAAGTCTTATCTTTCAACTTTTATGCAAAAACATATTTCTTGACCATTACAATACGAATTTTAATCTTTTATGTGTAAACAAAAGAAATTTATCATCATTATTTAGAAATATAATTTTCAAAGATTGCAATCAAGGTCAAAAAATATGTTTAATTACATTTATTCCAGTTCCGTTTCATCTAATTTTCATTCATTTTTGTTAGTTTTATTCCTATGTATGACCGCTTGTGTGCGTATGCTTTGAGAATCCTCGCCTCGAGCGGGCAAACAGCAGTTAATTGGCCATTAGTCATATAATTCACACGAAAAGTCGAAGACTCACCGAGGCTTCAGTCTTTCAGTCGTTTATACCAGGGACGTAAAATCTCTATTTCAATAGTATTCGCAAGAATATTAGAATTTCTTAAATTTGAATAAAATCTAAAAATATTTGGATACTTAAACATTTACTAATGTTTATTCCAATGTATATTTATGTCATTGTTGTATTACACACCAATCAATTTAAAAAAAAATAATTGCAATTATGAGAATCAAAAGAACTGACTTCAATATCCGATACCAATAATGAATCGAGATTTAAGCGATAGAAATAGAAATATCTTTAATAGTATTAGAAATATTTTAACATATCAGCCGTTTCGGATCTAGCAAAATGACGATCAGTGTAAGTTATCAATTAACACTAACAGACTTTCTGTACAATCTATAAGTACTATCAAAATGATTGATAGTATATGGGTATTCTTCATAGAGTCCCTGGTCAACGTGAACGCATTTCGTATTTGTTTTTACGTTGTTGCGTAATACATTGTATATATACATATACATATACATATATATATATATATGTAGGTGTATAAACGCATGTATGTGAGCATGCGTTGTATGTGAAGATAACGAAATTGAACAATTGTTTTTCAGAGACTCGTAACGATGTGTGGCTTGGCAGTGGTGGAAGCGATCTCGGACAGTCGTACGTCAATGGGAATGCGATCGTCGTAAAGCGTTGGTGCCTGCAAGATGATTCCTGCCGTACCGACGACTACGGCTAATGTAAAAATCCAAAGGAATAGCCTGTCAAGCACCATCGCGACATATTTCCAATCTTCCTTGACCTAAAAAATTAAAAATAATTAAATTGATTAAATAAATAATTTCAAGATTATTATATTATATTATATTATTATATATTATAATTTAAGAAAATTTTTAAATAATTTATTCTTTATTTGAAGTACGTTATTATTTTGCAAAATCAAAAATAAAATAAAGATTCGCATACTCTGGTAGAATCCTCTTCTCTTTTCGTATGATCAGCAATGAAACGAATGCCTTCGATAGCTTTATATATTTCTGGGCAGTGATGCCAATGATGAAGAGTGTTACAGAGAGCGTCCACGCTCTCCTCGGTCGGCAGTTGCGGTGGAGGAGCAGCCGTGGTCGCTGGTGAACCGTGAATGCGACACGCACTTCCTAAATTCACAGCTTCTAATTCCCTAATAGGAAATAATTTTTTCAAATAGATACAGATCATAAGCTTTTTTTTTAAAGATTTAAAACTTTATATAAGAAATATTTCTTTTTGTAGATTATTATATATTTCTTTTATTATATATTTATATTATATATTATTATATATATTATATATATTATATATTATTATATATTTCTTAGATTATTATTATATTTCTTTTTGTAGAAATATTTTCTACACAAGATTAACAAAAATTTGAAAAAGAAGATAAAATTAAATATATAAAAATTCCATTTCTGAATCTTTCTAAGGATTGTATGAATTTAATAAATATCGATATAAAATAATTAGTTATTAAAATTTTTACATACCGAGGGTGTAATTCGTCCCGCGAATCGAGACTCGGGAACAAAACGGAAGATTCAACCAGCTCCGAAGCTGAAGTCTCTACAAAAAGTGACGGATCTCGCAATTCGAGACCATTGCACGTTCTGACCATTACTCGTTGACCATGATGACTACTCATGCTACGTTTATCTATCTGGTATTGCGGCCTATCGATAAAAGATACAATTATCATCAAGACTTTTATTTAAATAATTTAAACAAAATATCTAATTATTTGTCTCAATTTTGATTTTTAATTTACAAATTTGTAATAATTGTAACAAAGTATTGTTATTTATTTATTTTACATTTAATATTAGAAAATAATTATTATATACAATTTCTAATAATTAATTTTCTAAGAATTTATACATTTATATTTATACATTTATATTTATACATATTTTTGGAATCTATTTAAGCATATTCAGTGATAGGAGCTATTGATAAATCTTTTCTATACTTTGGATATTTTTTAATAATCGATATACATATATTAATTTTTAAGCTTGTGAAATTATGATCCTAACTACTATTACATTACTGAAATAATATTTTATTTGCATAGATAATATATGATTGTAATAATAAGCCAATGGTATCAAGCATGTTGGTTAATAATCAATTATACTGGGAATATTGCATTGCAAATAATGTAAAATTTCAACAATGTGCTTCAACACATGTAGTGCTAAATTGTGCATAATTTTATATGAAACTATAAATATGAATACTGTCGAATTATCGTGTTAATATTTACAATGAGACTAATGTGCAGAATTTCAAATCATTTGAAGAAGATAAATAACGGATCCGAGAGAATTTTCAGTCCCTGCCGCAAATCTTCTTATGCAAATTTTTTTCATCTCCTTAATTATTAAGAACTTGGCTTTCGAATTTTAATATAATATACCTTTAACTTTCCAATACTTTCCTTTTTTTCCTTGTCGATATTATATTTTCCACATCAAATAAATTTCAATATTGTCATTGTGTTTGTTCGCATGAAAACTGGATTAATTTCAATTTGGTGGACACAGAAAGAGAAATAGAAATAAAAAGGAAAAACAGAAGAAAGAGAGAGAGAGAGAGAGAGAGAGAGAGAGAGAGAGAGAGAGAGAGAGAGAGAATGGTGGATTGTGCTAATGGTTGCAGACACGACGTGACACTAATGTCACGTGCGAGGCCACTAATGAACGTTCTAATGCTGGTTGGCATAGACTCAACGGTTGGTCCAAATGCTCGATAGAATCATATCTTGCCTGGAATCATAATCGGATCTCTTCGAAGGCGTATTATACCTGCGCATCACCAGTAGTCTTGGCAGAACATGAATAAAAACACGACGGACCCATGGTGCCATCACGTGCGTCTGTGGCGACCGGAAGTGAACATTGAGGACTACCACGGTTACGCATATACTGAAAACGAAGCGTTTTACACGTTATATTATAATTATAATTATCGCATAATAAGAAGCTAATACTTTCTAATTTAAAATTTCCCTTCCATCTTAATTTAATTTAATTTAACTCTATTGAAAATAATTTTACAATTTAATAATCCAAAAAAAAAATTTAAATAAATTTGTCGATACCTGAAGGTGTCTAGGATCATGGTGAAAAGGACGAATTTACCAAGAAGCGGTACTACGAGCGATGTGGGCGGGATAATTTCGGCCAGCAGAAGGAAGAACACAGTCAGCGACAGTAGAATTGAAATTGATAAGCTGACCTGAAAAGGCGGTGAAACACGTCTTCACTTATATATAATTCAATTAATATTATTTTCAAAGGAAGAGATGAAAAAAAACATGTTTTCTAAAAAAGACAAGACAAATGAATATAAAAGAAATTATAGAAAAATAAAGAAAGAAGGAAGAAGATCAAACAAAAGACAACGTTCCAATTTTAATTCAAACTTTTTTCAAGAATATGCTTGAACAAACCACGATCGTCACAACAAGATCCATCCGGATAACGTTCATGTTCAAAATTCATCGAAACACATAAATCTCGAATCCATCCCAATCAGATATCGATTAGAATAAAAAGATAATTCAAGCACACAGCGCACGTAACACGTAATCGCTACATCAACGAATCTACGTTCACGTAGGTAGATCATCGTTTCTAACCAAAAACGAATCCCAAGTTTCCAGACACACGATAGCCAATACAACGTACACAATTGCAACACACGATACACTCGAGGATGAATATGACTGACTCTCGGTTATCTCACTGATAGATGTAGGTGTAGGTTTCAAATCAGTAGGCAAACTTGGAAACGAAGAACAAAGCCCGATTCGAGGGAGCTATTGTTTCGTTCTTTTGGCAGCATTTTCGTCCAAAGTAACTAGACAGATTCGCGGTTCTGAACTGCGAATTCAACTGCCTCCTTTTAAACGAGATTCATCCTGTAATGTGTTTTACATACGTTTTAGAAAATTTATATTGAGAAATTTATTCTTACGTTGCACAAATGGCGTTGAACAAATGGATAATGATAAATTCAAAACGAAACAGTAAATTAAAAAATAATTTATTTAAGCAAGAGGGCAATAAATAAGCCTCGATCTTGTCCTTTTCAAGTGAATGAAATCGGGAGAGGTAATTGACTGCGGATGGCACGCTGACATCTGACCTTCTCTCAGTTTTTTTCTTTCTTTCTCTCTTTTTCTTTTTTTTTTTTCATCACCCTCTCTCCTCCTCCCTCGACCAGTTTCTCCCTTTACCATTTTGCCCGGCTGTTTCGAGCCAGAACAATACGACTGAATTATAGAAGCGCGCACGGCGTCAAGTGGGTATCGGCTCGAGGTCAAGAGTCTACGAGGAATGGAGGCCGAACGGCATTTAGAGGTTTGCATTCCGACCATGGATTTTGATATTTGACCCTCTCCACTCGGGATTCTGCTCGAACACAGACCGAGATCTTGCACGACGCGCATTAATGTAAATATTATACAACGTGTAATATTTTTTGATTTTGCATTTTACAATTAGATTTGAATTGTTTGAATAAAATTTTAATTATTATTGATTCATTTTATACATATTAATTAAGATTAATATGTCAATAAAATCAATTTTATTGCAATTTTATCAGTATAGGATTAATAATTATAAGAATAGTAACATTTATAAAATTAATTGGTGGTTATTTAATAATAATTTCTCATGGATCTTAAGATCTTCGGGATTACTTTTTTTTCGTTATATATAATTTATAAACTAACAAACAATCGTTTAATATTTATTATTAAGGGATAATTAATTTTATACAATCATTTATATAAGTTCATCGAATATAGGATGTCTCCAGTCATTAAATTTAATTAAAGAAATTTTGTTAATAATTCGTTTATTTATTATTTTAATATTATATTGTTTATTTAGATTAGCTGTGCTTAGAGAAACTTGAAAGCTTTTTTTTTCTTTTTTTCTTTTTTTCTTTTTTTTTTTTATATACAGTAAAAGCCATAGCTTTCCATTCTTTTTCGGAATAACACTCTTTCCATTCTTTTCGAAACACGATTTCGTCCTTTCTGTTCGGCGGAATTTTTCTGAATAAAGGAATATCTTTATCGCTCGTTAATTTATCTTCTGGATTATTTGATATTGAAGGATTTCTGAAAAAAAAAAAGGACATAGGCTTTGATATAATAAAGCTTCGATAATATAGAGAGGGGAGGAATTTAAGAAAATTCCAAGAGAATTCTTCCGTTTTCGTGCGGAAGAAAAGGCAGAAGAATGGAGGCGCTCTTTCTCCGTTCGTTTTATCCCGTCACGTGGAACGACGGGATGCGGCGACGAATTTAATATCCTTTATTGGCTTTACTTTTCTCTCGAATTGGCCGCGGCACGGCGACGAAATTTATCGATACACTTTCGCGACGCCCGCCTTTTTTTTTCGCGAGTCTTATATTAAATCCTCGCCACCAACTTTTCCTCACCGTAAATCGGGGGGGGGAGGGGGGAGGAAGAGAGACCCAATCGTGTTTCATGCAACTCAGAATCCCGACAAATTGTCAACCGTCGATTAACTCTTCGCGTTCGAATCAGTTACCAACTCACAGCTTTGATGCGGCAATTCGAAACGGCGACGATATTTATTTACGTTCGATTCTTTTGAAATATCGCTTCGTATAGAATAGATTTCTAACCTGTTTACGTATACTCTTGCGAAGCGTGCAATAATATACTGTCGAATGGTTAGATCTCAAATTACATCGCGGATCGAATTACACTTTGTTGGTTTAACGAGTTTAACGGTCAGTGGGAATAGAAATATTATTTTCAAAGTTTTCGAGTTTTGTAAGCATAGAATATGGTAAAATGAAATTAATTCGATTTTAGTATTCGAAGAGGTTATTAAGCGAGCAAGGATGAGTGATTTTTCATTATTGAATAACGAAATTATTTCTATTTATTAATGTATTATTATTATTATTATTATTTTATATATTATTTATTAATATATACTAATATATATAAATTGATAGAGAGAAGGAAAATAATAATGAAAATAGAGAATAAGAGAAGACGAATAATAGATGGTGAATGTGAGAACACTTGTTGGGATATTAGGTCAAAATGAATTTTATGTTATTAATAATATAAAATAGTATAAAATAATATAAAATAATATAAAATAATATGTATATATATTATAATTATTATATTAAAATTATATTATAAATATGATATTAAAAATATTATAATTCGTTATTACAAGAAATTGATGATAGAGGGAAGGAAAATAGCGATGAAAATACAAATGTAGTAAGAGAAGGTGAAAAATAAGAATAATACATGGTGAATGTGAGAGCACGTTATTGGAATATTAGTTCAAGATGAGTTTTTCGTTATTGAATAATGAAATTATTTATTTGTTAAGAAATTGACGATAGAGAGAAGGAAAATAGAGTATAAGATGAAAAATAAGAATAATAAACGGTGAATGCGAGAATACATTGGTAATTACGTTATTATTAAAATATCGCTCAAAACAACGATATAAACTTTAACATTCGACAAATTTTCTTTCATTAATCACATAAAAATACATAAAATATTAGAATACAAAAATTGTATACGTTGATTCACGCGTGAAATCATTTTAAGTTAGCTAAGAAATTCACCGAACGATTCGGCGAGAAAAGCCTGGAATGCAAAGGGTTAACCTGTTTTAAAAACCTGAATCAATCCTTCGATCGGGAATTTCTACAATCGAAAGTTAACGAAGAGGAGGAAAATTAGTTTACGATTTTTTAGTATTCGAAGAGGTTATTAAGCGAGAATTTAAAAGAAAAGAAAGAAAAAAGAATATTATAAAAATGGATGACTTGATAAAAGCAACTTTTCTCACCTTCTCGCCACTGTCGCTTGGCAGATAGAAGACCAACACCGTGAGAAACGAGATACCCATACACGGTATTATAAGATTGACGGTGTAAAACAGAGTCTTCCGTCTCATGGTGATGTTGAACGTGATGTCGAGGTAGGGCTCATCGCAACACGTGTAAAATTTTTCATTTCTGCAAATGAAATCGTTTCCATAATTAGATCGCGATCCCTTAAAGAAAAACAGCAAATATATATTCGTAAAAATTTCTCGACTCGATTCGACTCGAATTGGGGGAAAAAGTTGAAAAAAGAGGAGAGGCTCTCACTTTTGCCCAAAATTTTCTCCACCCAATTCGTTCAAATGCTCGCTCGATATCAAGAATTTTATCCTGTTTTCTGGCTTCTTCACTGGGTCGTTAAAAGCCAGACAAAAGCTAAAAGCTGAATAGACAGTAAAATATTTAAAATAAAAAGAATAATTGGAGAGGAATAATTGCTTACCGCACGGCTGGGACTTCGAGGATGTCCCACTCGACGGAAGTGTAAAACTCGGACAGATCAACGCCGATGTCGACGACATTGCTACCATGAATTTCGTCGATGTGTCGAAGATCAACCTGCGAAAAAAAATCAAAACGAATCCTATATTATTGCGGAAAATGAAAAAAAGAAAAAATCTTTTCAAGTTTCTCCAAGTCACATTCATATATTTCATTCCCTTATTAATCCTGATTCGCGCTTTAACGAAGGATTCGTTCGTTGTTCAGAGATATATAATTTCTGCTTGGGAGCAGAACGTATATCAATCGCTCAGGTTAAATAGAGGAAACGCGAGGTATTACGGTGGATACGTTTGATCCATTTGAGGGAATGGAATGGCATTCGACGTTGCCGATATTTACGCCCATTTCTGCCCGTTAACTTGGAGTTAACGAGATTCCTTGTGTTGCAACATAGCACATAAACGTAACATTCGATTTCGAATATTACTATCTCACTTTTTCTTTCTATCAAGTCTTTGAAGTCTTTCTAAGTTTTTCTAACGCACAGCATTCAATTGTTAGCAACATTATTTCAGTAACACATTGTCGTATCGCGAAATCAAGTCAGAATATTTGTTTAAAATAAAGTTTTAATTAAATAATTTTCATACAAAATTAAATTATATAATAATAAATAATAATCGAAATAATTTTATTCAAAGAAATTAATGTGAATAGTGAATAAAAAAAAATCTAATATGTAATAGTAATGTGAAAAAGAAAAATACAATGTTAATGATTTTTTTAGTGGATATAAGATAGTGACATTAGTATTATATTAAAATATAAATATTGAATTTAAGTGAAATAGAAACAAAAGTTTTTCAATTGACGTTTCAATCGATCTATGAATTTCAAGTTGATTCAAGTATCATTCGTGACTTTCTTGTACATATGAGGATAAGCAAATTTATGTATAAAAATAATACATTCAATCTTTCTAATCTGAAATCTTATGGGAGTGTGAGTTTTGATTTGCTCCTATGGATTTCGGTAAATAGGCAGATTGAATATCAACAATTCAACTATTGATTTAAATAATATGTTTATATTATAAAACAATTTATCTATGGATTTATATAAAGTGGTGTATATGTTAATATTCTGGAATTTACTATTATTATATAAAAAACTTATTCCAGGCAAGATTTTGTTAAATAAGAAGTTACATAATATATACATTATATTACATTACACTAAAATTTATTTGAAATTTATTGAATCAATTGTATATAAAAAATATATTTATTTTCATCGAGGGGTTCCGCTGCGCAAGCGACATTGCAAATTACGGCACTGCTGCACATCCAGCTGAACGTTCTCGCTCTTTCACTGTCTCGCTCTATCTAATACAAACTTAAAATGCTTATAACTCGTTAATCGAGCCTTATTGGACATGTGTATACGAACTTTTTTCATCGTTTCGACATCTAGAATCCACCTTTCAAAGGTGTCTCACGTGTTTATTAACACTCTGTATATATGCTTGTCTATAAGAAAATTCTTCTCCCTAGATTCGAGATTGTAAAAAAAAAAAATTAGCATTGGAAATTTTAAAGGAGTATCGTGTTACACATTTCACAAAAGTGAAAATTCGAAGAAACTTTAACGAACGAATCACAGGTAAAGAAATATGATCGTTGGTTAGGTGTATATATATATATATGACAAACAACGAGTTTGTACAGACTCATACGCATTAATCACAAGAAATTTATGTGAGTTTCATTCGGCGTACATCCGCGGCCACCGTGTTCCACGTATCTCATGAATAGTGATGAAGCTTTTCGTACGAGGTGTGGCAAATAACACGTGCAAATAAACAAATATTATCAACAATCTTTTGATATCTCGCTCCCTTTTAATTATACACTTTCTTAATCCAATTTTTAGTCACGTTGCTTCCTCACTTCCTTCGATTGAGATGTAATTTGGGGACTTCGAATGCTATATTTTATTTTATTAACATTCGGAATTTTCGAGTTTTTCATTTGTACAGAGAGAAAAAAAGATAGCAATTTTTCTTCTCTCTTTTTTAACTGAAAAATATAAAGTGTTTATTTTCTCTTCTTCGATATTTTTTTAAACATCTCTTTTTCTCTCTCTCTCTCTCTCTGGAGAATGTAAAAAGGAGTTTCATGGGTAAAAAGAAAGAACGTGGAAGGAGAGACGGTTTACCTGGAAGCCGTCGTAAGTCCACGAGCCGAACTTCATGACGCACGTTTGCTCGTCGAACGGAAAGTATTCTACGTCGATCTCGCAAGAGGACTTGTATATGGCCGGTGGCTTCCATTCGACCCTCCCCGTGTAATTCAGCGTCGCCTTCGTTGCCAGCGTCACCTCGAAATTACCATCGGCACTATTCCATGGAAAACAAATCGATCATTCAATAATTGTGATCCAGCCCGCTAGAAACACGCTCGTTCGAAAAAAATTTAAAAAAAATTTTATTTATACTTCGGACAGAATTCCCCGACAGAAGGATTATACAATCGAATATTTTTTTTTACACTCGAGATCAATTTTAAAATTATATACAGATCTATTTCGTGTAAAAAAAAAAAAAAAAAAAATGATAAAAATTTTCATTTGATCGGAAGTTATTTAAGTATTATATCTAATCGTAGCTGAAAGGCAATAAGTGATACGAGTAAAAATTTTATTTAGGGAGGGGTTAATAATAAATCGAGTTTCGTCCCGTTATGAAAATTCTAAAACTGGAAAATTACTGGTGGCAGTTTGCCAAGTAATTCTAGACAATCGCTTATGCATGTAGCCTTCTTCCAAAGGTTGGATCCATTAACTAGTAATACAGCAGAGATATTAAACGCAGTAATTTTCGCGGCGTGACGAAAAGATGGTCTTACTTGTTGTATAAAACTATATCGGGCCTCCATATATGATCGGATGGCACGTGCAGCATTTCCACCCCACCATATTCCTTTGGATCCCATTTTAACTTGTAATCGTACCATGACTGTAACAATAAACGTTTCAATTATTGATAAAAAAAAAAGAAAAAGAAATGCAATGAGAAAACGTACGGCTATAATAAGTCATTAAAATTCTAATCTCTTTTATCTTTTAATATCCTCCATAGAGATAGAGATAAAGGATGGGCTCCATAATTAACGATAAACGTTTCAATTATTGTTAAAGAATACAGTGACAAATTTTATAAGAAACTTAAAAACATACTAAGTTATTAAAATTCTGATTTCTTTTATTCTTTAATATCTTCCATAGAGATGAATGGAGGTGCAACATGGATTCCATAATTAATAATAAACGTTTCGATTATTGTTAAAAAAACACAGTGAAAAATTTCACGAGAAATTTGAAAATATACTACTATAACAAGTCATTAAAATTCTGATTCCTTTTATTCTTTAATATTCCGCGCAGAGGATGACGGAATCGAAATTAATTGCGCAACTAACAACAAACGTTTCGATTATTGTTAAAAAAAACACATTGACAAATTTCACGAGAAATTTGAAAATATACCACTATACAACGAGTCGTTAAAATTCCAATTTCTTTTATTCTTTAATAACCTCCACCAGAGATGAATGGGGACGTAACAATGCAACTCGATCAATGTTAACGGAAATGTTAAAATTTTCGACGAATTTTTCACCATCTTCGTCCCTCGTTTATTTCGAATTATTTTGTCATTTACTTTTTCAATTATCGATACAAATACATAGAGATAACTATTTACTCGAAAACATGAGAACTGTTGTTTTCTGACTGAATCAAAAGTCAAAAATTTTGATTTATCATTGTTATTATTATTATTTTCTTTTTTTAATATCCTCCACATAACACACACGGAACAACCATGGAATCCGGATACATAACTGGGCGCGATGGCTTCCTAGGGATATTTCGAGGACAGAATTACGACGAGGAGGAGAAGGAAAAGAGCTGTTCCAGAATTGCATTTTCCCTCCCTTCCTTTCCCCTGTATCGTTCGTGCGCGCAGCCTGATTATCGCGCGCCCCTTCCCATTCTTTTCACTCCTTTTCCACGACGGATTGTTTCCGTGAAACTCCTGCCTGCCTGCCTGCCTGCCACGAGCACACTCAGCCTTACCTCGTTCGCGACATGAACAGTTTTGACGTTCGTCCCCCCCCCCCCCCTCCGTCGGATCAGAGAAATTAATTAAAACGAAACGCATGAGATGAGACGCTTTTCGTTCCATTACGATTGCATTACTTCGTTCGTCTCGTCGATGTGAGTATAAGCCGATAATTTCTGGGAGAGAAGGAGAGGGGATATACAAAATGGTGTCCGAAGAAGGTGTCCGAGAGAAGATACGCGTTGCGAAATGAATGGAAAAAGGAATATTTTTCTTTTCTTTTCTTTTCTTTTCTCGATTAATCGGAAAACGATGGAGAAGATCATTACTCGATGTGATTATTTATATCGCGCAAGGGGATCGAAAGGGAAACTGTGTGTGAATTATCGCGTATATATCTTTTGTTGTATGTATCTTTAATGGTTAAGGAGAGAGGGGAGAAAATATATGTATAAAAGGGAAAGATAAGAGAGCGATTGCACGGAATTGTACGTCGGGTTAATTGACGGAGGGGAGATTGTCGGAGAGAGCATGCGACAGAATGTTAATTAACAGGAAATAGAGCAGGTTTTTTTCCCGGATAGCTCGTTTATGAGGAAAGAGAAAGAAAAGAGCGAAAAGGAAAAATAACTCGTTCGATGAGATAAAATACACTGGTGAAAAAAAAAAATATTTTTATAGTTTATCTTTGAATAATTTTTAACGTCGATAGATAAATTTTGGTTGATCGAATGGAAATAATTGAGAATAGAGGTAAAATAGATCTTCGATAGCTTTTTATTATATATATCTCAATTTAGAAGTGATAGAAGAGTCAGAATTAAGAGAAAAATGTGTAATATAGTGCTAATCTAACCTATTTCCACACATTAATTATTATTCATACTTGTTTTATTAATTATTCAAGGATAATCAAGAACGCAACGCCTGAGTTATGTTATTAATTCATTCAACTAAAGATTATTTTTCCAAGATTTCTACGAATCACGATTTGCACAAGTCGTTAACAAAGCAGAGAAAGCATTGCTATATAACGAATCTCGAAATAGTGGAAGTATAAACTTTACCACGTATGATTCCCTGGATAATTCTTTATACTCTCACAAGTTATTTTCCAAGATTTGTACAAATCGTTAATGAACCAGGAAAAGCACTGTATTTTATTCTCTAGAAAATCTTCTTAAATTAGAATTCTTCAATCAAGTTTATTTTCCAAGATTTGCACAAATAGTTAATGAAACAGGGAAATGTACTATATTCTGGTTTCTAGAAAAACTTTCTTAAACTCTAAAAATTAGGATTAGATATGACAAATCTCAAATAGCCAAAATATAAACTTTATCATATATGATTCCCTGGATAATTCTTTACATTCTTATAAGTTACTTTCCAAGATTTGCAAATAATTAATGAAACAGAGAAAACACTCTATTCTGATTTCTAAAAAATTCTCCTAAATTAGAATTAGAATCACAAATTATTTTCCAAGATTTCCATAAATAGTTAATGAAAAGCACTGTTTTCTAATTTCTGGAAAAGTTATCTAAACTCTAAAAATTAGAATTAGATATGACAAATCCTAAATATCCAAAATATAAACTTTATCATGTATTATTTCCTGAATAATTCTTTACACTCTCATAAGTTACTTTCCAAGATTTGCAAATAGTTAATGAAACAGAGAATTGTACTGTATTCTGGTTTCTAGAAAAGTTTCCTAACCCCTAAAAATTAGGATTAGATATGACAAATTCCAAATAGCTAAAATATAAACTTTATCATATATAATTCCCTGGATAATTCTTTACATTCTCACAAGTTACTTTCAAGATTTGCACAAATAATAATTAATGAACCAGAGAAAAACACTGCTTTCTGATTTCTAAAAAATTTTTCTAAATAAAATTAGAATTAGATCACAATGATAACAATTAACGAAACAGAGAAAGCCACTGTTTCCTAGTTTCTAGAAAATCTTCCTAAACCCTAAAAATTCTTAAATTTTAAAATTAGATATAACAAACTTCAAATAGCCAAAATACAAACTTTATCATATATTATTCCCTGGATAATTCGAAAAGCATCTTTATACTCTCACAAAGATTACTCTCCAAGATTTGCACAAATAGTTAACGAAATTAAGAGAAAAACATTGCTTTCTAGAAAATCTTTTTAAACGAAATCAGGATTAAACCATGACACGTCAAATATCCGAAGTATATAAACTTCAAACCACCTACAACTCCTTGAACAAGTCTCTCGAGAAGGATCTTCGCGGCTATCGGGATTCGAATTTATCTATTATCGATAAAGTCGATCGGGCGAAGAGCGGTGCCGGAAGGTAAACTAGAAAGTTTTACGAAATTCGCGGGAAACCGCCACTCCACCTTTCTCGTTCGTTACGCGTGGCCACCATCACCGCCGACTCTCCATTAATATACTATGGAAACTTCTCGACCGATATTTGATCTGATTATGTATCGGGTGTGCTCCTCTTTATATACCTTACGCCCATTTACCTAATCACGCTGTCCAACAGATTAATGGCCGCGTAAGTACCGCCATTGAATACGATTCATCGAGGGATTCAATTAATGAAACCTTGAAACAAACACGATTCTTTTCCATTTCTCACGAGATTTCTTACTTTATCGATTCGTTAATTTAACAATTTTTGCGATTTTAATTTTCTTTGTTGGTAACAACGAAATCGAAGGCAGTGATTATGCAATTAAATTTCTTTTTTCTTTTCATTATTAAAAGATTCTTGCTTGGAATAATTAATTAATTTGAAAGATATCGCTAAAAGGATAAATCAAGCGAGAAATTTCTCCTCCTCCTCTTGATTCTCGCAATGTTTTCTTTCTTTCTTTCTTTCTTTTGATCCCTAATTTTATGCAAGATAAAAGAGAGGGGGGAGAGCGAAATGGATGCACGGAATCGGATGCGAATCTGTCTTACGTAACGTTGGAAAGTGGGTTGCACGGTTCACCGGACTTATTTTGCGACTCTCGAGTGGAAGAGCTTTCCCTCTCCCGATTTTCGTTTTACCACGTATCCGCCCGTTTCATACGGTATCATTCACGGGAAGACAATGCACGACTCGAACGATTACGAGAAACGAGGGAATCACGCAAGCGGAATCTTTCGAGTTCTTCCACGCGCCATCTTTCCTCAACAAACAAGATTAAGCATAAAAAATATCGGTTAGAACCGTAGAATTCGTATATTCAGAAGTATTGTATTGATGAACGTAATGGAAATTAATTGGAATATTAATTTTAAAACGAATTATCAAATTTGGTTGTTAAAATTTTAGGTTAGGTTTATACACAACATAGGTTATATACAATACACACGCGCACACACCTGTTCTACCCAGAGGTTCGTTGTCATGATTTGATTTTTCAGATTCTGGAAAGAAAAACAGAAGGCGAACGATCACTTTCTCAGTTTTCTCTATCTTCTTCGGTAACTTTTATTCATCTCATTGCCCTATTGGCTATTTTATCTTACTACGTCGATCAACTGCGAGAGTTTGAGCTTGATTTTAACGGTGAGGGCGTCTGTGACGTTGACCACTGGACGAACCAGCTTGTTGTAATTCGACAGGAGGTCGTCGTACAGCCGCTTCGCATCCGGATTTCCCGAGCATCCTGCGAAAAACAAAAAATTATATATAATTGTAAATATTAAATACGATCGATACGTAACGAAACTTTTTCGAAGGGAAAGCTTCAACAGCACGGAGCTCGCGGATTCGTGCAACTGCCCGAAACCATCGAAGTCACGCGATCTTACCTTACCTTCTTGCGTTCTTCCATCTATCATTCCCTCGCAATTTAACGCTGTAATAAATTCGAAGCAGATATAAATCGCGTCTCCGCCATTTTCATTTCGATTTTTCCATTTCGTAAATGGAAAAATCTCTCGCGTCTCGTTTAATTTCGAGACGAATAAACAACGCGTGAACGAAATGATCACCAAATTATCCATTTCCATAAACAATTTTCCCCCTCCCCGGTTCGGTCGTTTTCATCGGTCGCGTAACATCATTTATTCCAAAATATCAGGCTGCCGTGATAAATAAATCGAGAGGAACGAACGCATCACGAATTCGCGAATAATTGGAGGATGTGTATGTGTGTCGAGGATAAGTTTTGTATAACGTTATCAACCGAGTTTTTCAATCGGTATCAAGGCAGGTAAACGTAAAATGATTTTATGAACGCTTTCCAATAAAGAGATAAAGAGGCGAGAAATTACGATATTGTTAATCGAGGATAACGAGATCTCGAGTATAAATCAATTCGCAAAATGTAAGTTAAATGTGGGGAAAATTCATTTTCAAATTTATAAAAAAATAATTATATATTAAAACTCTTGTACATTAAAATTTTTAATTCTCTTTTTAAACGTTTACAGATTAAAGAAAATAAATTTATATAAATAATAATGGTCACGTTTCGATAGTTGAGAAATATTTTGTAAATTTATTAAGAAGAGTTTAAATTTCTCTTGATATAATATCTATTTTTAATTTAAATCATTATAAATTATCGATAAGTTTTTTTTTTTGTAAATTAATTTTGAAGTAATGATTTTTTATATGTTCCACGTCGTTCCACGCGATAAAAGACGGATATATATAAAAGTGGAAACTTTCTACTTTATTTTATTACCGCCACATTTGATTCGGAAAACTTTGCGAAACTGTGCTGAAATTAATTTTGTTTACGGCCGCCCATGATATGCACAGGCACATTTAACAAATTTTATGATATAGTCACTGATATTTATGGATTAATTCTAATCTATCTTGTATTATGATATAATGCATTTCTATCATTATTTATTTATTATATTTTCAAAAAATAAGCAATAATAATATTCCTAACTTTAGCTGGTAATTTTTTTTATTTCTTTCAATCTTTAAATGGTCATTTGTATACTTTTTACAATGCTTTTTTCATTTCATAATTTTCAATTTCATTGTTTTTATTGTTATTTTGTTATCACTATTTATTTTATCACTTCTATATCTTCATATAAACTCAAAATTAATTGTAATTTATTTTGTATTATAATATATTATTTGTTTATTTATTATATTTTAGAGAAATAATAAATAATAATAAATAATAATATTCTTAACTTTAACTGGCAATTTTTTTTATTTCTTTCAATTTTTGAATGGTTTTGATCTTACAATGCTTATTTCATTTCATAATTTTCAGTTTCATTGTTTCTATTGTTATTTTAAATTCATTATTATTTATTATTGGATATAAATTTGATACATCTCCATATAAGCTGAAAATTAATTGTAATCTATCTTGTATTATAATATATGCATTTCTATCTTTGTTTATTTATTATATTTTGAAAAAATAAGCAATAATAATATTCCTAACTTTAGCTGGAAATTTTTTTATTTCTTTCAATTTTTGAATAGTTTTGATCTTCTTACAATGTTTATTTCATTTCATAATTTTCAGTTTCATTGTTTCTATTGTTATTTTAAATTCATTATTATTTATTATTGGATATATATCTGGTATATTTCCATATAAGCTTAAAATTAATTCTAATCTATCTTATTATTACAATATATGCATTTCATTCATTGTTTATTTATTATATTTTGGAGAAATAACCAATAATAACATATCTTTATTATTTAACATTCCTTAAACATCCCTAGTTTATCATTTCTATATCCGGTATATCTCCATATAATCTCAAAATCGGCGTCAAAAAAAAAGAATAATAATTTTGTTCCAATTCGGCGCCATCTTTCGAATAATACCACTTGCGACTGCGCCTCCTCTCGAGCGCGGAGTTTTAAAATTCGTATCACAAAAAAAAAAAAAAAAAAAGAAAAAAAAGGGGAGGGGATTCTTCGTTGATCAATCGCCTTCCCAACGTTTCCAAATTAATTTTGTAATAGATTTCTCTTCTGGCATCGCCGCCCCCTCCGGCACAGATATTATTTATCGTTTCCGAAACATTGTATTATCGGTGTTTTATCGAGGTTCCTGGAGCTGTACCAGGACGGTTCATAATCCTCGCGTCAACGGGAGGGGGGGGCAACCCCGTGGCCACAATTTCAGTTTTTGAAGCCGTGCCAGAATATTTACGATACACGGGGATCGTCGATCTTCGTGATGAAGATCCATTGTCTCGCAATGATCCTTCTTCGTCCGTGTCGACAGCAAGAGTGCTTTTTCTCCCAATTTTCGAGAGATAAAAATGTAATAGTTCACGTTTGAATTGCGATTTATTAAAGTTATCTTTCTGGCGGATACTAGATCCTCCCTTTATTTATTTATTTATTTATTTATTTATATATTTCTTGAAGTTTGATGAATGCGTTAAGAGGGAAGAGTGTATCTGTGTGCGAGTTGAAACGGTTTTCGAATATCTCGAACGTGTATTTGAAAAATTGATACGATATCCCGAGAGATATCTTTTCGAATCGAAATAAATCTGAATATCCCCTTTGCAAGTGTCCTCTCGCCTATTGCAATTTGTACAAGCGATAAAATGCAAACAATTTTTTAAACATAACTGAATTATCATTTCGTGAAAATAATTTATTCGTGAAAATGAGCTTTGAACGTATTTTCAAAAATTTCTAATTTAAATAAAACATTCATCGTTCCCTTTTGCTTTAAAGATTCTTTAAATAATGGCAATATTGGTCAAGATTATTATTTCATCTCGAACAAAAAGATAAATTCCTCTATTGCAATTTGTGCAAGCAAAAATTTGTAAAATTTAAACAATTTTTTCATAATTAAATTATTATTATAAATTATTATAAAATATTTTTTTATAATTTTTTATTTTTATTTTTATTTATTATATTTAATTTTTATTAAATTTATATATTATATTTAATTTTAATGATAATAATTTTTTTATATTATTATAAATTATTTTTCTTTCTTTATTTTCTATTCGTGAAATTAAGCAGATAAATATATTTCTTTAAAAATTTCCGATAAAATCCTTTATCATATCCTTTTCAGGATTTTCTTAAAGATTCGAAATAATATTTGTCAATTTGTCAAGATTAACGTGGAATAATTTTTTCATAACTAAATTAGTTTCATTTATTCGTGAAAATAAGTTTTAAACGGATAAATAAATTTTTTTAAAAATTCGAAATAATATCGCCAATTTGTCAAGATTAACGTGGGATAATTTTTTCATTATTCGTGAAAATAAGCTTTAAACGGATAAATATATTTTTTTTAAAAATTTCCAATAAAACCCTTCTGAGAATTTTCTTAAAGAATGGAAGTAATATTTTGCCAAAATTACTTCAACAAAGCGAATAGATTCGCGAAAATAATATATTCACGATGAGATTTCCATTGGAACGAAATTACGAGTTTTCGGCCATTCCAACGGGTGGTACGGTGGATCAGAGATATTATATGATAACCCGTAGCACGAACAGATGGCCATCGATTCGATCGCAATCTTTCGTGAGTAATCGGTTAACTAGCCGGAAATTACGTGCGCCTTGGCGGTACGTGCCCGAGGGTTTGGTTTTCGAGGGAGCGGGTGCAAAGCAAAAGCTGCATGAATCGCGGCCCTGCATCCTCGGCTCACACGAACGAATCCGAATACGTTTCAATTCACGTTCCTCCTCGTTTTCGAGAATCAATTTTCAAAGGAAAACTTTTATAAATGGAAAAATTACGAAGAAGTGATAAATGTTTAGTTTCGCTTTAAGTTTTTCTTTCTTTTCTTTTTTTTCTTTTCTTTCATTCTCCTTTGATTGATCGGTTCTTTTAAACTCTATGAAAATACATAGATAATGAAACTTGGAGGAAAATCTTCTCTCTCTTTCTCTCTCTCTATTGATTGGACGAGTCCTCCAGTGGCAAGGAAACGTTTGTTATCGACAAATGTAATCGACGAATAAAAATTCGTTTTATCCGAGATAGATTTTGAGCAAGCGTTAATGGCATCAGACGGACGATAGCCTTTTTTTTCCGCCTCCCCCCTTCCCCCCTCCGTTCGACGATTAAGCGACGGAGAAAGAAGAATGTTAGAACGGTGCCGAGCATTTTTGACTGGGAGCACAAAGGCTGCGATGGCTGACCAATTGGAAGAAAGGCTTTGTCAGTCGAAACTGATTGCTCCTGTTCCTTTGCTAGCTCTAAAAATCCGTTTAATATATCAAGAAGATATTCTGTTTGTCGATTACTTAATACTCCGAAATAAATAATGGAATTATAAAATTTATCGAAGTAAATATCGATATCAAAGTTTTTAATATCGAGAAAATTCCACAAAAAATATAAGAATATTATCGAATTAAATCGAATAAAAAAAAGTCTCCATCCACTTAAGACGGAAATTAAACTTTTCTGGTGCTTCGGTTTATCTTATGTAAAGTGATTCACGACTTTCCAACGTAAAAAATTGGTATCAATTTTAATCGTAATAAATATAAACAACACTAAATTTGTCCAATTGTTTAAATTTAAAAGAACGAACGAAAGCTTGGTGCTATTGGTGAATCGATCTAAAGACACATCTTTTTTAAAATTCTTAAAAAAACTCGTATGAGAAGTTTCATTGTGTTTAATCGTCGCGATCGGTAAAACAGGCGAGAAAAAGGAACGAGGGAAAAAGATACGATATCGGTCGCCGAATCGACGTCCGTGAAATTGTTGCTCCTTGGATAAGAGCAATAAGAACGAGTCACTATATTACCAAAGCGATATTACCAACTATATTACCAAAGTGTTTCGCGCGAGACGATTGCTCGATGAGCCGGACATATCGAAAAACATGGAAAAATATTGCGTGTGGCGGACGTTTAAAAGACACTCGGGCCGAGTATCCACTTATCCGGCTGTTTATTTCCCGGGAAAAAACGCGAGCAACTTTTCTAGTCGAGATTTTCAATGAGGCGGGTTAGGTCGACGATGATGAAATCGATAAGAGACGAAGAAAAACGATTTATCGAATACGAAGTAGGTTTCTAATGTTTTGTATTCATAAAATTTTTGTTCTATAAAGAATACATACACATGTATTATGGTTAATTTAACATGTGCATTTAATTGTAATTTTGTTATAAATTTTTTCTTTTTATTAAAATATAAATCGTTTTTAATTTAGTTAGATACGAATCGAAAGAGTTAACTTAAATAACAAACAAATAAAACGAATCTGAAAAATTATAAATGGAAAAGAAAGTTTATATAAAAATAGTTTAAAACAGAAAAAATTATCTAAAGTGATCGATTAAATTTAAAGAAACAAGAACAGCCAATCCACAGAACGAATTTGAAAGAACGTGTTATACCTTTGTATAATATAATTCGATAAGTAATACGAATCAACGAATCGTCAGACATCACCGAGTAACTGGTTAAGTAGAATAAGATCGTGTTTACGCGGACAAGCATGTACAGGCAAGTATAGTGAGAGTACGATTATTCGATAAATATGATTATCTTTTTTTACAATTACACGCATTCCATTTTTTCATTTCTATCGAAAACAATCCAATTACGATTCTTCCTTATTGATTTAAATTACACGTAATCTCTATCGACCATCATGAACAGAGCATCAATTCCCGCAAACGGTCAAACACCTGTACCACGGCCTGTATTACAATACCGGTTCAACACGAACCGCATATTAAGCGCGCGTATCAAGGATCTATACAGGCGCTCGTTACACACTTGCGCGCATGCGCGCTAAGCCTCGCGGAAACTTCGAATCGGGCTTAATTCGCCTCGTAACTTTTTTTCTTTCTTTCTCGTGCCTGCACATCGTTTCGAAATTATGGCTTGCCCCAGTTTCTCGTCGTCGAACGTTAACTCTATTCGTAACAGCGAAGAAACAGCTTCGACTCTAAAACTTCATCTTTGCGATATTGAATATATATATCTACATTACGAAAATACGTTAAGAAAATAAACGTCGCGCATGCGTTGTTCACGCGTTGAAAAGTTTGGAAACGAAGATGTATACGAGGAAACGAGGAAGAAGAGAGTAGCGTAAAAGATTTTTCTCGCGAAAAATAGAATTTAAATTCATCCCGTGATCCGGTCGAAAGTTTCGTTAACCACGGCCAGTGGTGGAAAAAAGGACTTGGACGTTGATAGTCGCCATTGTAAACGCGCGTGAAGCATTTACATGTGAATAGGAGCCAAGTAAGAGTTGATGCATATGCAGCAGGCGTCATATCTTATACGATAGTTATTCGTCGCCGGTTATATTTGGCTGCTTTATTGTCTAGAGATGATAGGCTTCGCGCTTTGCCGCTCCTCGTACAATAGAATGGCGGACGCGATCGTGGCCTTGCCGAAATTGAACAAGAACAAGATCTGAATCCTCCTTGAATTTTGAAACGTATTCAAACGTTTTAACGTTATATAACGTTTTATTATTTAAAAATTTAGAAATATAATATAATAATATAATATAATATAATAATATCACGAATATTTGATATTTGAAGCTTAATGTTTAAAATTAGAGATATCTCGCGAGTTTCCACGAGAGATTGGACGATTGGAGACAATTCCATGAATCGCATTCCATTCTGACTTTGTCCACCGATATAATAAACCCGAGTTGGCGAGTACGTCTTATTGTCGGATAGATTTATTGAACATACCTGATATGAGCACCAACACTATCCACATGATCCCCACCAGGCTCTTCATCATGTCATTGTGTCACGTCCAACTCATTTCTTCTCGCCTTCGTGCTCCCCGGACCCTTCAGTTCTAGCACTGAAACAGGGAGAGCCGTTGTTCGATTAAGTGCAACGATGCGCCCGGAATTAAGCGTTTACAATTAAAGTTGTGGAACACGTTCCCCCTCCATTTATAATCATTCGTCACGAGTTGAAGGAACAAAAAAATAAAAAAGGACGGATAAAAAGATTTGGAACTCGATAATTCGAAACAACAATTTATATAATTACATAAATCCTTTTAAAATTCAGATTTCTAATTAAGATGATTACATATATATATATATATAAATATAAAATAAAAATAAATATAAATATAAAATAATATATATATAAATATAAATATAAAATATATTTTTATGAAATATATATAGATGATTATTTCAAATTATTTTAAGACAAAATCAATTCGCATTCGCGTTGAAAATTAAAGATGAAATTAAAATTAATTCGAACGTATCATTTTTAATGATACTTGAGAAAGATTAGATTAATTAACAGGTTAAGCCGATGCTTTTAACGAGAGATATCCTTTTTCCGATTTTCCTTCCAGGAATTTATGCCGGTCATAAGGCTCGTGATCACGTGATTTCGGATCCCCGGCATGAAATTTTCGCGTCGGATCTCGTAAATCTCTCTTAGTTAGGCGAGCGGAAACGCGATGGCGTATCTCTTGAAATATCGTTGAATCTGCAACTCGGATACATAAGCAGCTTCACTCCCCCCCCCCCTCCCCCCACCAGCCTCCATTGCCAGGTTCTCAACGTTCGTTTTCCAACGAAACGAAACTTTAGAGAATTCGAGAACTAGAACTATTTTTCGAACGTGAATTTAGGAAAGAAGAAAGGAAAAGGATGTAAATGCGATTCGAAACGTCGAGGAGCAGAGATGGGCAAAATTTTAATGGGCAAAAGAGAGGATCAATTGTAATACGAATAAATGTCATTCGAGTATATTTTAAACGAATTTACTGTGATTAACTTAATGTAAATTTATTTTAGCCACTTTCTCAATAGGCTCTGATGACAAGATGATTTTTTTGGAAATTTCGAAAAATTTTCTAGCCACGAAGCAATATTTGTCCGTATAAAAAGAGAAAAATAAGAGAAAAAGAGAGATACACATTATTACCGCATTAACGATGATGAACGTACGTAAATTTCTAGGTCATTAAGTCTCGAAATATTTCCAATATCATCGTTTCACAAAAAAAAAAAAAATTCGAGGGGAAAGAAACGAAAAAAAGAAAAAAAAAAAGAGAAGATATCGATTCTCAATGGCGGTACAATTCGCAAGCGAGTGGGCAGCAAGCATTCGCTCGATGCGTTTCAAGCTGGCGTATCGTTCCAGCCACGTGGACCGCAGAACTGCGGCTGCAGCCTCGATGCGTTCCGCAACGCGATACAGCGTGGCGCAAGGTAGAGAGACTGGTGGATTTGTTGCTCGCCGTGGCTGCATATGTATCTATCTTTTTCCGTTATACCGTCCCCATTTTCACGGTGGTGCGATAATCGAACGTATTTTCTTGTGCGTTACCCATCATCAATTGAACGTGATGCTTCCAACGGAATTATCGATGCGAATTCACCGATAAATATTTTGCAGAATAGCAGGAGAGATGGTACGAAAAAGATATTTTTGTTTCGAACAAAAAAAACAAACGATACACGTGATACTATTCATTTTCTTCTATATCTAGTTTTTTTTTTTTTTTTTAAGAAACTCTTGAAACAGTCTGGATTCAAAAATTAATAAATATCTTCTATTATCGAATATTTGATTTATAAAGAAATGAGATAGTTTGATCGAGCATTTAATCTAAGATTAAAATATAATTTAACTATGTTAAAAAATTTTGCAATCGATCTTATTGAATTTCCGTATTATTCTATTTATTGCTTCTTATATTTTGTATCAATTTCATTTTTTAGATGGAATTTTTGAATTGAAAAAAAAGTTTCATAAATTTGTCAAAAAAAATTCAATCACGTATTATGCTTACAATGACTTAGAACTGGATGCTTTTCATATTACCTCTCTTCTAATTCTTTTTAGAAAAAAAAAAAAAAAAAGGAAAGGAATTTCAGTACACAAGACTTTCTTACGAATAGGTACGAAACACGGACGAGTCGTTCGCGTACATATGTTAAAAAGCACGAGAGGATAGATTTCATCTTTGCGTGCACATAATCGCGTTCTTTGATCTTCGTTTCGCGCGATAAACGCGAACGGCCGCGTTTCACTGCCCGAGAAACGTTTCTTTAATGCAGATATTGCGACCTTAATTTCTGTTAAGACATTCTTCCTCCGGTCTGGATATTATTTTCGGCTGCGAATTTCGCTACGGAGTTTGGACTTTTAATCAAGGATAATCTGGTGTAAAGAAAAAACGGGTGAAAAATGCGACTTGTGTGTACGATCCGCTCGTTTTGCTTAATCCTTTCGTTATGGGACACGATTATGCTTACGAGCTGTTAAGCTTTATGTTGAAAACCGGAATACTCCGTCCGACAAGAGCATTCATGGTAATTGTTGGTCCTTACATATATATATAACTAAAACTAGCTAGATCTAATATCACGCTTTTATAACCTCTATCTGCGAATAGCCATTGTGTACTGTGAGAAAAAATTATAGTTTTTATTTATCATTAATAACGTGGAAATATTTTTCCATATCATCATTTAACTATGAAATTTCTTAATTAATACACGTAACGTGATGATATTGATAACTTCGATAAATGTATCGATAAGGATCGACGAATTAAACTCATAATTAGAAAATTAATATCGATGCTGCTCTTCAATTCTTTGCTTCTTCGGTAACGAACGTAATTTAGTATCATATATTACGTGTATTCTGTGATATTAGAGATTGTTTCTGAGAACGTGTGAGTGTATTAATAATTTACTTTAAAATTAAAACTAGAAATAAATGACACGATATGTTCCTTCTAGTATTATTAGATTTAAAGGATTTGAGAAATTCAAAGAAAAAGAAATTACGTATTAAAATATCTCAGAAACAATGTTACCATTTCTTGTATTCTTAGAATAAATGACATTACTTTTATATCTTTATTCCTATAATATTCTTTACACAAATTTAAAACTTCTCAATATCACTTCGCAATATCACTCTGAGCATATCTAACGAAATAATTCCAACTTTGAACGGTTTAACACAATTCTTCGAGGAAAATAAAAATTGCCAAGAAAATTGGCAGATGGTGGAAGACACAGACAGATGGCACGAGTAGTCCGCATAACGGCGTATAATTTCGCACGAGCAGTCTGGTTAAAAGGTTAAGGCTCTCATCACGCGTGAGTGACGAGACTGGAGTGAAGGTAGCGGATAATTAGCTCGTCTCGAGGCACGAGTGAGCGACTTCAGACAGAGACACATTTCGATCGATCGAAACTCGCAGAAATAACTTTTAGGTTAGTGAGAGAAGTCGATGAGATAGCGACAACGCGATTTCGTTGAATGGATTCATTGTCTGGACACGATTCGAGCGAACGATGACCGTATCGTGACAAGATTAAATCTTTGAAACGATAGACAAGATTAATTTTATCATCTATTTATCGAACAATGTGCTAAAATTGAAATTAACATTTATAAATTTAACAATATAAGTTAATCGTAAATCGATTAATTTTTTTCGACTTTCTAAAGATTTTTATTATCTATTTATTTTCTCGAACAAAATGTTAAGATCAGAACGATAAATTTTAAGAATTTATCATGAATCAGAGAATCGGTTTTTAATTTTCTAGTTATAAACAAGATAGAATGACACTCGTACACGGTTATGGACACGTCGATCGCGAATATTCAAGATCCAGTGAGTTAAAAATATTCCTCGTTCGCGCTATTAACTCGTTCACACAGCGATTCACAGATCCGATTCAAAACAACGTCGTTGCACCTTTGTATCTCGTGACGATGAATGTTTTCAACGCCGAGGATCGCGGGCAACTTGTTGCTGAATAAATTCACTGGCTTGCTTCATTAATTTTAATACGCTTTTTGCAGGTCACATCGCCTTCGGATACAACTCTGTCCATTTTCATCGCTCTTTACCACTCGTTCATTGCCAGTTCGTTGTTTCAACATCTCTCCGTTAACTGGTTTCATCTAGTTTCTCGATGCTTGCGGAAATCACTCGAATATTTTTCGATTTCCTTTTTATCCAACTGGATCATATATCAATTCTTACTTTTAATAAATGATCGGCTGCTACCGATAATAAATTAGATTCATTTCTAAAAATTGGCAAAACTTAAAATCTACTTCTCTACGCGAATAAAAAGAAAATTACAATGGAATTTTTGAAATATTAGAGAGAGATAATTAGTAATTAATTGATATAAAGAAATTTTTATATAGTAGAACATACCCTCTTTTTCACGATTATTATTATATATTTTAAAAAGATTACTGCAATAACAATTACAGAGAATAAATAAAATATTTTTTTAATTATTATTGTTCAATCACATTTTTAATATTACTGAATATTGATTATATTTTACTTGTTTCTCAAAACTATCTCGATTTTTTTTTCTAATGCCATTAACGCTTCAGAAGGTAAAGATTTATCTTCATCATTTACATATCATAATTTACATCATTCAATCTCTTTTTGTTCATTGTGAGAATTGACATTAATAAATAATATAATTAAAAAAAATTAAAATATCACAGTTCGGATAATATAGATCTTTTAAATACTAGAAATTCCATTATACCATCAAACTTGACCACTTATTGAACAATTCGGAATACCAGTTACCAGTTACTCATCGATGAAATAAAAGATTTATGAATTTAAATGCGACAAATGATCGTAAATTGACGATGAAATCGAACGAGAAGAAAAAAAAAGAACGAAAATCTCGAGAATAAACGAATAACCACGTGTTAAACTCGTTAAAAACGCGAATTTTGCAGAATTTTTCGGATTTTCTGTGTCAGAGATACTTGAAATTTTCGCGGAGCCAAGCGAATTTTAATACCTTCGATTTCCAT